AGAGGGAAAAGTGTTGTCCATCTATATTTGTTCCTGTTCAATTTGCACATAAACCATATATTTTACAATCTTTTTATTTTACAAATTTTATAACGTGTGATCTTACACAAGAGCAGCAAAATATGAAGACAGTCTTTATTCTCTGAAACCCTAATAATATTTTTTACTTAGATACTACAATGTCCACAGGAAGTGAAGAAACAAACACCAACTTTTCCCAAACAGCGATCTTTCGTAAGTTAAATAAATCTATACTGTCATTTTTAACATAAAGCTTTGAGGCTACGAGTCTAAAAAGGAAATTATTTTTCTTCAAATTTTAATTTAACAAATGAAAACACAATACTTTTTCATTCTTAAATATTTATTAGGTTTGATTTCTCGCATTAATTGTAACCACGGTAATATCATGTCAAAAATTTTATTAATTATGTCATTTGTAAAATTTTTTGCTGTGAAAATATTTCAAATAAAGAGTTATAAAATAAATCTTTAAAGAAATAAAGAAAGAGTTACGAATTTTTCCCAGAGCAATGTAAAACATTCAATGTACATCACATTATTTTTACGTAACCATGCTGTTACAATTCATGTACACTGTATGTTGTAGTTTCCGTGGGATTCGCGGTTGCACTGATAATTGCCGTCAGTTTTGTAATCAGTATGTACAAAATAAGGTCTGTGTTCTTAAATTTCTTTTTAAATTAGATTCAATCAAAGATTTCAAAACAAGATAGCTACATTTGTATCTTATAGAATGTATTATAAAACTTTTACTCTTCCTTTTGGACATATGCAAGGTTTCTGGTTTTAGTATAGAATTTTTTAAGAACTATTGAACAAATTTAAAAGTACAAAACATGTTTTATTCTGCCATATTTAACCTACCAATCTAGCCTTTCTTCGAATCAAAGTTTTGATAATTCCTACTGCATTTCCTATGTAAAATCTTAATAAAAAGGACCTACATTATTTTTAACCATGTAATTTCTCTAAAATCCGTGTACTCAGTAGTTCATAGACATTTTCAATAAAATACATTGTTTTATTCTTTTCTTCCGATTGCATGTATATATTTTGACTAAAAATGCAAATATAGAAACTAGAAAGAGAAATTCCAGCACTGTTCTTTAATTTTGATTTACTTTCTTTAACATCTAATTATTTTTCATAATGATCAAGAGTTTCTGTCTTGTAATTTACGTTATTGCAAACAAATTGTCTACAGTGTCTTTTGCATGGATTTTTTAATAACTTAAATTCGTAATTACCGTGCAGTGCCTCCTTCACATGACTTATATAGAAGTGTTTTCATCCGTTAACCTAGCTTTCACCATAATATGGCAAATCTTACCCTTCCCAACATAACATGATTATTGACGACCTGGTGACTGTCTGCCCCTTTAGTTAACACAATGTACAACAAAGCCATCACAACTTTTCTTTCTTGTTGTATTTTTTTTATTTAATCCATAAAAACAAACACATGTTCTTTTGCTTACCTCCGTAACATTTGCTTTCTTTATTTCCGCCGCCTAGTGAATTAAACGGGACATCACTGTTTTTATAAACAAAAAAAAAAAAAACCCTATATATTATACATTTTTTCTCCAGACTCCCTGCCTTGTCAATTACCTTAATTTTCTAGACTTTTAGATATCAATTAACAGCATTTTTATCCCAAGCTGCATTCTCGGAAGAACTTATCTGAGAAAATTTGTTAGTTGTCTGTCGTCGTTGTTGTTGTCACAAACATTTTTTATCATTTTATCATCACAAATTCACTTGAAAAATTTGAACAAATTTAGCATACATGTAATTGTTTTTATGAAGAGTTTTCAATTTTATCGACATGTCGCGCAAACTCACTTTTTTACGACTTATAATTAAGAATTACTGAAAATTTACTGTCATCTTGTAAAAATTTTCTCCATAAGAACCAGTGAGACAGAAAATATAGTTAATGTACATAAAATTTATGTATTTATGAAATATTGACTATAATTTAATTTTTTTAAATTCAGAAACTATATTAACATAAAGATTTTCCCCCAAAATCATTTAGAGCAATAACACTGAGAAAAAGACGAAAAGAATTGATGCGCCTCCCAAGTATTCCAAAATCAAAGGACTCTCCTCCGTACGAAATGAAATTAACCAATCCAGAAAATCCGTATTCCGATCCCGACTATGAAATAATAGAGGAAGAAGATGAGGGGTACGAACATTTGCCCGAACCAGGAGAAACAACTCTAACTCTAACACACGAAGATGGACTATATATAGATCCTGACAATGCTGACAGAACATACCTAGATGTAGTGCACAGCGAAAAAGAACCTAACGCTTACATTAACGTGTCTCCTTACATTGATTTAGTAGATGATACCATTGACGATGTTCTTCAATCAGAGGCCTTGGACACTTTACAGTCAGAGAATGCTGATTATTGTAATGTAATAAACTTACCTGAATAAATGGAAGTGGAAAAAATTGAAGAGAAATGAGAAATAAGCTGAATGAAGATTTTTCCACCATGAGTGTGAATAAATGTTAAATACTGATTTTTATTTTTTTTTCGGATAAAAAAGATTGGATGTGAAAAAATTTAAGACAAACTAAGTATATATATTTTTTTGTAAATATCAGAGGCAAAAGTCACAAATAACAAGACCTCCATCTTTTTTAATATAAGCTTTAAAAAACATTGCAAAAGACGATTAAAAGATGAAACAAGTTTCGTGTAATAAGTTTTGTCGAAATTAAGACAACCAAAAGATAATTTTGGAAAAATTATCAAATGAATACATTATATGCAATGTCAGTTTTATAGGTTCATTTATTATAGTCCCCTAACGGTGAAACTGATGAGGATTTCGGGTTTCATCTTTATTTGTCGGGCCGTCAAGTTCTAGTCGTAAAGCCTGCTGTTAGGAGGCGTGTACAATTTACCTTGAGCGCTGCTGTCAACTAAATTGTGACGTAACTTGAACTTAACACTTAGCTGCAAAGTATAATATTCAAATCAAAGGTCCCAGGGATAGGGTGGGCCCACAATTGGGTATCTCCATGAAGATTTTTATCCAAGTTCATAATTATAGGGCAATTTCATTGAGAAGAAGACGGAAAGAATTGATGCGCATCCTAAGTATTCCAAAATCAAAGCACTTCCCATACGAAATGACATTAACCAATCCAGAGAGTCCGTATTCCGATCCCGACTATGAAATAATAGAGGAACAATACGAGGGTTACGAACAATTTCCCGGACCAGGCGAAAACTCCTTAACTCGAACAGACGAAGGTGGACCATATATAGATCCTAACAATGCAGACGGAACATATTTAGATGTAGTGCATAACAAAAAAGAACCTAATAATTACATTAATGTTTCTCCTTTCATTGATTTACTAGATGATACAATTGACGATTCTTTTAGATTAGGAGCGGTGGACATTTTATAATCAGAAAATTCTGCTGCAATAAACTTATCTGAAAAATAAAAGTAAAAAAAATAAAGAGATAAACGAGGATTTTCCACCGTGAATGTTCTACCAAACCAAAGATAATTTCGGAAAACTTATCAATATTTTATATGCATTCATTTGTCAGTTTCATTTGTTGATTTGTTAGTTCATAAACGGTGATACCGGATAGGAATTTAAACAAAACAAGTTAGTTGATTTGTTAATAATGGGAAAGGCCAGTTAAGTCTTACAATATTTTCTATACAACAATATTGAGCGCAGTGGATACAATTTTCTCTTTACACGTAAAGGTAGACATCATTGAAGTACAGTGACCATCCAAACAAGAAAAATGTACCTGGTACCTTTTTCCGCTCGATAATTTTAAGGCTTTCAAAAGATGGGCGGTGCCAAATTTCACTGGATGGACAAAGGATTTTAAACATAGTACCATTACAAAAATTAAGTTCTTCCAAATAATGTTTCTGTTTTTTGGTTAGAGTTACTGTAGGATTCTTTGAGGTTACAAATGTCAGTGATTTATAAGGTCTTGGAAAAATAAAAGTTAAATCTATATTTGATTTCTGGTCAAAAACCGGGGACCGTATGGCACATCATCCTTTGGATTCTCTTTTGAACCCATATACTATAGTACATCAAGTTAACCAAACGTTTTTAAGCACATTCATTTTTAGTCATACTTGTCACTTTATACATATTTATCAAAAGATGCCCTAACCTTGGACCTTTATACTAAAGATAACAAAATACTTGTATTTAATTATTTATATTTCTTATAGTATTGGCGATATAGGCCACGGCTGCATTAAACAAATAAGGGAGCCCGGCATCAATTCTTGCCTTTTTGGCATCCCCAAAAATAAACAAGCATGAATGGTAAGCCCTGGAAACAAAACAATTAATAAGAAATATTTATTGTTAAATTAAATTGCAATGCAATCTTTATAATGCATAACATATCTTCATTGTGATAAATGCAATTGCAATGTCGCAAAAATAATGTGAAATGAAAAATTCCTACAAGTGATAAAACATTAGTGAAATCACCGACATCATTTCATGTTGGTATTCCTAGTGATCCAATAATTTGAAAATAAGGGACTTATATTATATTTAATTATGCGGTGCTGTAGATTCCAAAAACATGATCGTGTCAACTACAAAATTAATCACACCCTGATATCCTTTTATTAAATTCAGATTTTAAAATACCTGAAACAATGCATGGATAAAATTCAAGCTTTGAAACTAAATTCTGCACTTTGTCTATCAAAGTATTGTCTACTTTTTTTCACATGTATGGCTTTTTCATCCCCTACCCCTTTAAAAAAAGAATCTGGTTCTCGATTTTCCATTTCCATTATGTCCCAATAATGCCAAAGGTGAATCTATGATTATCATACTTAGTTTTTTGATTAGAAGTTGAGATGAGTTAAAATTCCCAAAAGTCAATAAAAATGACAATTTGAGGAAAATGAAGAACAAAGTGCATATCAATATATCAAATATACGCATGCCCCTCGTTAATACGACCGCCCCACTCCCCCCATTTTTGACACAACATACTCATATTTCATGTTAATGTTAAAGGGGACGACCATATCTGATTAATTATTCATTTATTTTAATGTTATGTAGACATTTGTAGATCGTCCAAGAATTAAACTCCTCCACATGTACATATGTACAGGTACACACTGTATGTATGTGCAACCGGCAAATGGGGCGAGCTGATTAAAAATTACAGGTTAAGAATCCCTAGTGCAAAGGTACATGTGTTTAGTTTGTCTATTAAAATTTCATTACAAAAAACATTTTTTATTTAATTAGTTTTGAAATCTCATTAATTTTTTTATTTGATTTTATGGAATGGGAAATAAAAACTGAAATGAGACTTCGGTTTTCGATAAACGACATCAATCAACCAGACTTGATAATGAGTTATTGGGACCCGACACTCTAAACCACATTGAATGAATTAGGATGATATTGTTATGATTAAAATAATAGTTATAATGGTAGCAGTAGAGTGTTTCGGCGACAGCTATGCCTCATCAGGGGCCCCAGTAAAGATATTCCATGTTTATTGTAAGCTTGATTTTATCAATAGATCTCCTATGTTTTTATGCTTGCTATACGCAATGATAGGTTCCGATTTGAATAGATCTTTGCATATTGGGTCTGCTTCCAAAATATTCCAGTACTTTAAAATCCGCTTTTTTAGTCCTTTGATGCGAGGGTTAAATTTTGTAACCATGACCTGTGGATGGCTAGGCTTTGTGTTTTCTCTATTTCTTAAAAAGAGTTGTCTTTCCTTCTGTGTTGTTTCTTCATTTATTGGGTTGATTTCTTTCTCTGAATAGCCTCTCTTTGAAAGATGTCCCTTGAAATCCTCTAGAATTGTTTTAAGAACTGAAAGGTCGTTAGTATTTCTGGAGTGTCTTATACATTTTCCTTTGATAAAACCTTTAAATACAGAGGCGTTGTGTGCACTGTTTCTATGAAGGTATTGAAAATTATTAGTTGGTTTTATGAAAGATTTGATATCAAGTTTCTGGCAATGATTAAATCGATTGCCTTTGTAAACCGTTGTGTCCAGGAAATTTACGGATGAGTGAGCTATTTCAAATGTAAATTTAAGATGTTTATGACAGCTGTTGCTGATGTCAAAAAATTCTAGAATTTCTTCCTTGGTTCCGTTAAAAATTAATCCATCATTTAAGAAAACTGTGTATATTTATTAAAAAAATTACTAAAACATGCTCCCCAAACTAGTAAAGACCTAAACCTATAATTGTACTATTTGTCTATCCTCATACTCACGCATACCATATATGTATTTTTATTTGTCATCATTGTAGTTTACATTTATATCTCGCTATACAATTGAAATATTGTGAAGAGATCAATAAATTCAGTTCAGTTCAATTCTGCATGACTTTTAAAACACACAACTAAAGAACAGACCTTGCCCTATCGGCTATCACTTACATGTAATTGTAAACAGTATTTCACCCCCTCCTTTTTGTGCTACAATCAAGTAAAATCATATAAATAAGCACCAAATCTGTACTGTTTGTTTATACAAAGGTCTCGGACAAAAATGAAATCAAAAAAAATTATAATGTCTGCACAAAATTCTAATTTTACGAAAACGCAAGCCGTAACAATATACCTATGGCAGAATGTACTAATAATTGACCCGATTCTAAAACGAAAAAGACGACAAGAATTGATGCGCCTCCCAAGTATTCCAAAATCAAAGGACACTCTATTCGAAAAAAATTAACCTACCCAGAGAGTCCGTATTCCGATCCCGACTATGAAATAATAGAGGAAGAAAATGAGGGTTACGAACATTTGCCCGAACCAGGAGAAAATACTTTAACAGACGAAGATGGACCATATATAGATCCTAACAATGCAGATGGAACATATTTAGATGTAGTTCATAGCGAAAAAGAACCCAATGATTACATTTACGTTCCTCCTTACATTAATTTAGTTGATGATGCAATAGAAGATTCTTTGAAATCAGAGGCTCTGGGCATTTTACAATCAGAGAATGCTGGTACAATAAACTTAACTGAGAAAATAAATGTGGACGAAATAAAGACATAAACGAGGATTTTTCTACCATGAATGTGCTACCAAACCAAAAGATAATTTCGGAAAAGTTATCAATATATTATATGCATTCATTTGTCAGTTTTATTTGTTCGTTTATTAGTCCCTTAACGTCATACCGGATAAGACCTTAAACACAACAGTTTAGTGGATTTGTTAATAATGGGAAAGGTCAATAAATTCTTACAACTTTTTCTACACAACAATATTAAGCGCAGCGGGTACAATTTTCTCCTTTCACGTAAAGGTAGATGTCGTTGAAATACAGTGACCATCCAAACAAGAAAAATGTACTTTCTTCCACTGGTATATTTTAAGGCTTTCAAAAGATGGGCGGTGCCAAATTTCACTGAATGGACGAAGGATTGTAAACATACTAGTACCATAACTAAACCTAAGATAAAATTCTTCCAAATTATGTTTCTATTTCTGGTTAGAATTACTGTTAGCATTCTTTGAGGTTACACATGTACATGTCATTGATTTTTAAGTTCATGGAAAAATTAAGTAAAAGTTAGATATTTAATTTTTTGTGAATAAACCGAGGGTCGAAAGGCACATCATCCTTCGGATCCTCTTTTGAACCCATATACATTGAACACTTAAGTTTTTAGAATATCTCAGAAAAAGTAATTCAGGGGTTATTGTTATTCAACACTCCTATAATCTAATATAAGTATAACACATTTCGTTTACAATTTTTACATGATTTTAGTTTGTACTGTGGTACATTATCATTCTTAAAAAACAAAAAAACTCTGGAAAAAAATAAAGGTATTTGTTATCACATCTTTCAATGTGTAAGTTATTTCTTAATTTAACATATACTAGTATGTCAATTATTTCAACAGTTTCAAACATTATAATAATTTAATGACCCTGGGGTGTTTAGAATTCAAACAATGTAAATAATTTAAATCAAAACAGTTTTAAGATGTGATTTCATAGTTAATTTGTATAGTTTCGATGTGCATGTGCAAAATACATGGTTACACTATACAGCTTTAAGGATTGACTTAACACCACTGAAGTTACCAGTATATCATATAGTTAAAACGTGTTTAACCTATATCAATTCTTTTTTCAATCTTATACACTCTATATTTTCGTACACTGCAAAATCGACGTATTCTTACGTGTGATTAGATATGCACCACGTGCAATTGGGTACATAATTAGACTAGGAAAGTAGATACCGTGAAACCTGAATATTTGTATGTTTTGATTTTCGTGGTTTTCGAGTTATAAACCAATATATTTTGTTTATTATTTTAGCTTCACAGAGTCTCACATATCTGTTTCATATTTGGATATTTTACTCGAGAAAGATTTTAATGGTATTCTAACAACCAAGCTCAAAGATACATGTGATGACTTTAATTTTTTTTATTGTCAACTTTATCGGCATTCTCGTTTAAATCATTCAGTTCGTAAGTTTTATAGTTGATACAATTAATGACATTGTCGATCAGCATATACAATTCATCATTGAGTCAAATGCTAACTGACGTTTTCCATACTGATTGTACATTTTTCCGTTTGTCCGTTATTAAAACCATGAATTGTTTCCTTATCATGAGAAGCACACGGCCGGTGTGACCAGTTTGCAGGGGGTGCGCAAAATGTATTTGATTTTGTCTCTTCTATAAGTTTACAGATAATCTTTCCAATAAATCTAAGGGATGTTAAGTAGGCTTGAGTGCATTGTCTCAAGATTTTTACATGTACAAATTTATATTACTACTTCTTGCATTTTGCCATTGATTCTGCGTGCATAATAGAGCTACTCTTACTTGTATTTTGACGGTGCATATCGGCCAAGGTACTTTCCAGTTATGTTGAGGGCATAGAAAATACAGAATTTACATGAGCTGTACTGTTTTCTCTTTAGGCAATACAAAGAATTGCTTGCAAAAGAACGTGTACAAAGATGGTTGCCTTTAAAGAGAAACCATGGAAAAACATTTGAGAACTATCACAATCCATTAACCACTAGCATATCATAATCTTACTAATTAATAGTTTGTGTAAATTATGTCTTAAGTAAATGAAATAAAAAATAGGTTAAAATCATTTCAAGATACGAGGGGCGTTCAATAAATAATGTCATTAGCTCGATGATATACAACATAGTGGTCATATGACATAAAGCTTGACTTTCTCTCATTATTGAATCTTTAATGAATTTATAACAGTTTATGTGACCACTTTTCATCACATAGTTTTATCGTGAGAAGCTGGGAAACAAGGGCTATTCGAGACACTGCATTATAAATGAATGGTAAAGAATCAGTAAACTAGAGTGAAAATAAAAGCCACATTAAAGCTTCTGTAAAACTTGTTAAAAATCCCAAAGAAATATTCACTGAAATAGTGACATTTACAGCAACCGATGCCTGTTTTATAGACAAATTAGCAGGTGGATTTCAAAGATAAAAAATTATATAATGGGCATCAAAAATGGGTACCATCCTTGCCAACAAAAATTATAACAACTTATGTACTGTTTGCCAAATTTCAACAAATAATATTTGATGTTGTATGATTGACTTTAAGACACATAGCAAATTTGATAGACATCATATCGGGAGTAGTTTACACTGTTTTAAGAAACGTTTGACAGTAATTAAACTTGGTACTCTAAGGTCACCCTGTATTTTGAAAAATGAGTGAAAACGACAGCGTGTACAAAAGTCTTAACAATTGTTTTAAAATATCAGTAATTGTAGTAATCCACGTTTGTTTTATATTCAAACAGATATTGGAACATGAATCTATTGCTTAAAACCATTAAAACAAAATTTACCATAAGATGTACTTGATAAAAACGGCAAAGGTCTGTCAAGAGCAAAGGTATGCAAGAGCACAAAAACAGATTTATATGAAATTTTCTTAAATATTAGTGGTATTATTGTTCAAATTCGTATTCGGGGAGACAGTTTAATATCTGGAGGTGTTTAGAAAGCAGTTTTTTTGCAAAGAAATCGAAAGGTTTATCAGAGAAAGGACCCAGAATCAGGAATCCACTACATTGAATTTCTTCATGACAGCGTTTAAACCCGCATGCCCTAAAGAGTAAAGGGGTTTACGGGATAAACAGAAAGTTAATGTTTTTTCACATTAACAATATTTGCCAGATCTTTGACCTTTTGACTTGTTTCTATTTCCAAACTTGAATAAAACACCTTTCAGAAGGAAAAAACAAGTCCAGGAAATCATTGGATCTGCCATTTTCCAGTATACTAAGGGTCATACCAAAAATCAGTTCTAAAATCAATCAGAAATTGGATAAAAAAAAGTCACGGACATGTGTTTGAATTAAAATAGATTAATAAGTAAAATCATGAAGACTAAATCATTGAAAAGCGTCGTTTGCTTCTTTCTGAGCCCCAATGTCATTATTTATTGAACGCCCCTCGTATATCATGCTGCATTGTGAAAAAAATTCGCATTGTAACAATGTGACGTTAAATTGTGCAAAAATGCATGTGAGCTTAAAACGTGAGCGGAGCTGTATTGTTTATTAATACCCATAGTAATCAAACAACATTGACTTGCAACTTTATATGTGTATATACTATGAATTCCATCTTTTTTATATACTATTAACATGAAAGACACAAACTTTAAAAAATCTTTTTTAAGCTTAGGATATTTTCGAAAAACAAGCGAGGTTTAAGACATTCTAGTACATACTGATTTAACAGAAGTTGCAGTCTTTAAAATTTTAACAAATTGACTATTGTTTTAAAGATGAGCACAAAAAAATATATCAGTACATATACTCTTAAGGGAAAATTATTACACAGAGGAAAAGCTGAAAGATCCTTACATCCTTTTTTCATTATTTCTTATAGTGCATACACAGAAAGGAAGTTAAACCCCGTCTTGATCTTGTTTATTGTTTCAGATTATCAATATGTTTCCCTTTTAATAGAGGCTAACTCGACATGTAACCTTTGTTTTGTAAATTGTTTCAGTTTCTCAATATACCTCCCTCTTGAGAGAGAATAACTCAACATGTAACTGTAATGGAAAAAACTGAAATGATTACTTTAAGGTTGTTTATTGGAATCTTTCTGTATTCTGTTACAGGTAATTTAACTTCTCAGTATAAGAGACAGTTACTTAATAACACTGTTGATTGTGAAATGTTTTCTTCTTATTAGGGATGTCAACAAATATTCGAATATTCGAATATTCATTCGATGAGTTGATATTCGAATATAAAATTATGATTCGAATATTCGTTTTTAAGTATACAAGCATTAAAAAGAGAGAAAAACCTGGCAAGTTTTATTAGAAATTGAATAATGTTTGTACAAAATTAAAAAAAAACACTCCTCTTGGATTACCTTAAAGGTGTGAAGAGTGTATCTATTAGAGTAATTTATTTGTTCACTTAATTAGTAGTATAATAGTTTCCAGTACTTACAATCAGCTTGTATTGTTGAAAGGACATAGTTTAACAGTAAACACACAGACCCCTTATTTATGTAAATATCATTAAAAATTATTATCAGGAAATCATAATTAGCAAAAAGTAATTGCTTTTAATATTTCATCGCTAGATAATTGTTCTGCTTGGTATAAATTGAGTAATTAGTGTAGACCTTAGTAAGATGATCAATTCGCTGCATTTCATTTCCGGAAATACGCATAGCATTTCCGACATTTTTTTATTTCATTTCCGACATTTTTTGTTTGCATTTCCGACATAATTTCTTTTTCATTTCCGGAATTTACCTGTGCGGCAATTCAATGTTTTCTAAGTAAAAGAAAATGGAATTTTAAAAGTATTTATGCCAAAATGTTAATAAAAAAACATCTATACATATATGCATCCATGTAGCACTAAGTCTAGGTTAAAGAGTTTAAAGCCATATATGGCGTATGTACAATGAAAATTATTAAACTAAAATTATAAGAACTTATTATTTGTATCATTACTTTATATAAAGATAGAACTTTTCCCTAAATTACAAAATCTAAGTCAATTGCGCTATAAAGATATCACAATTTAATTTGGATTCTCGGAATTTTCTCCGACTCGGAAGAAAAAACAAAAGATTTAAATAACACATTACAGAGAAGATAAAATCGTATTATTAGTTGAAACGAGGTGTTCTTCGTGTTCAGAATTGTATGAAAAGATTTAATTTAAATGTATTAACTATATTTCTTTGCTTAATTTTGTATTTTTCAAAAATATTTTTTTTTATCAGTTACACCATATATGGCTTTAATGAGCATAAAACTTTTTCACCATATTTAATGTGCACTAAATTAAATGTCAGGAAAAATTTATTATTCACAGTCGCTTCGTTGAAAGTCATTTATAGAACGCACAAAATTGGATTTCAATGATTTATTTATGATTTATTCCTTTAAATTTTTCATAAGTAAAATTATCAAATTTGTTACTATAGGTACTTATGTATTTGAAAAATGTCGGAAATGAAAACAAAAAAATGTCGGAAATGAAAACTAAAAAATGTCGGAAATATATATAGAAAAAGAAATATCTTATATACGGAATGAAAGTCCTCGATTTACAATAATCAACAAGTTAACTGATATAGTTTTGTATACTATATGAGTCTAATTATGTCTGACCTAGGGATTTTGATAATTTTCTAAAAATTAATTTTTACTGTTGTACTTATTGTTTTAATATTAAAATATAGAATGTCGGACTTCCGGTGCGTGCGGGGTACAATGTAGACGTGTCGAGTGGCGCGAGAGAGTTTTTTTTCTCTATTTAAAGGGCTTGAGTGCTATTACAGACAGTTGAAGTAGGCCGTGTTTAAACAAAAAATGCCAGGAAAAGGTAGGAATAGTCAGAAAGCTCAAGGAGGCTCCCTTGACCGATTCATAAAAGAACCGGAGAAAACTTCAGCAGAGGAAATTCGAGAGAGTGAGTCGAAAGACACAGGAAGAGCAGAGAAGGGGGATATTTCTAATAATGACCTAAAGGAACTGATGACACAGCTATTCAAAACAATGGAGAAGAACATTGACGAGCGGCTGACTAATATGAATAAATCCATCGACGACAAATTCTGTGTTTTTAACCAGAAGTTGGTCGACCTTGAGAAAGCTGTTCAAAATCAGGATGACAGGGTTACAGACATGGAGTCTTCTATCTCAAAACTGAAAGCTGTTGAGAAACTAGAGTCAGAAGTCGAGGAGCTGAAGAATTACATTATTTACCAAGAAACAAGGTCTAGGAAGTATAATGTTCTCATATATGGTGTGGAAAAAAGTGAAAAAGAAAACGTTGCAGAAGTTGTCAGAAAGTTTTTTACTGAGAAATTAGGCATTGATGAGGAGAGCATCCGACAAATGATTATCCAGAATACTCACCGTATCCCGAGAAACCCGAACAACACGACCACCTATTCTTATAAGGAGTCAGCACCAGAAGCCATTATCGTGAAGTTCGCCAGGATGGAAGACCGCAATGCCATACTATCGAAGGCGAGGAACAGTAACTTACCAAAAGGGATAGCTGTGAGAACGGACTTACCCAGCCATCTTAAGAAAAAGCGTGGTATCCTGTCCCAAGAAGCATATAAACTTAGACAATCCTGTTTCAAAACGCGTATAATCGAGGTGAAAAATGACGTGGAGCTACAGTATCGTAAGCCCGCTGAGACGACCTGGATGAAGTGTACAGACTTGTAATTATTTCTCATAAGCAGCCCTTATACATAACATGTGTTTCTTTTTTTTTTTAAATTCTCTCTCTCCGCTATTTTTCAGGAATGTTTTCTTCTAAGCGTATGCAGGAAGCTTGTTTTTTTTTAGTTTTTCAGTCTATAATGACTGAACTTTGTGTATGTGTAATTATGTGTATGTTGAATACTCGTTGGAATCTGTATACTGAGTATGGCTAGTAAGCTTAAAATTATTTCCATGAATTGTAGAGGGCTACATGATCATAGTAAAAGGAAAGATGTTTTTAAATATTTAAGAGAACATAATGCAACATTTTACTGCTTACAAGACACACACTGTACTGAAAATGAGAGAGATATTGTTTATTCTCAATGGGGACTTGATTTTTTGATGTGTTCAGGGTCCAGTGACTCAAGAGGTATTTTAACACTTTTTAATGACAAAGTAGAAGCCAGAATTTCAAAAGTCAAACTTGATCCCCTTGGAAATTATATTGTTTCAAGTATTTTCATTGACAATAGATATTCTATTACACTGGTAAATTTATATGGCCCGAAAATATAGAATGTATACCACCGCGATTTCTTAGGAGACCATATCAAAATTTGTCAAATTTTACTAAAAATTGGACCCTATCGGAATTTGTTGAAAAAACGCCGAATTATCACATTTTTAAATATTTATTGTATTTCTGCCCTAGAGATTTCTTTTCAGTCAAATACATGAAAGTTGTTGTAAAATGTAACCAAAATGTGAAATAAAAAAAAAAAATTCAGAACCTACTTTGGTTAAGGAATTAATAACTTTGTTTATTTTTTCAAGCCCAATACCTCTAAAATGGCCATATTATGGAATAACTACATATCACTGCATATGAATTAACGGCACATACGATTTTTTGGAGGAAAAAAATAGCAATGTTTGAATTGCTAGTATGCTTCTTTATATGTTCTGTCATCCTTATTTTGTCTAATATCCATGGACGTCTTGAACATACAAGTTACACGGCGTTCTTCAGCGTCATGCGTTGCGTACAAAATCCGAAAATGGTGACGCCGGTAGAGCCATTTCAGCGTTCTTTCCTTTATTGTCGGAAAATCACATTTTCAGACCAGTAGGGGCTACAGATAATATTAATTTTGTATTCAAATCAAGATATTTAGCAAAGGTGTACTGTCGCGCAAAAGACTGCATGAAATTAAAAAGCCGCGCAAAGTCACGCGCACTAAAATTAAATTTTTCTCTGCCTCGTTAAAGTCTTATTTGTTTTTTTTAAATTCAGAATTGAATAATGATGATGATTATTATTGCTAATTTATCGGGGTTTTTTTTCTCTTGGTCCTAAATTACATGGTTAGAGGAAAACGAATAAAACTTATTTGCACTGAATTTTAAAAACACACAATTATCTGCTTTACTCTTGAATAGAATCAGGCAAAGTCTCCTTGAGATATCAATATTTTTTTTAATAATTAAAGCGACATAACTGATAGTTGAAGTATTATAATTCATTTGCATCGGAAGCAAATAACAAAGGGGTTCTTGGCTTTCTTGCTTTTATTTGTGCCTGCAACCATTTAAATTTCGATGGGTAGTGCTTAACCTAAGCCGCAATTTTCAATGCCTATGCTTGTTCATGAATCACAAACAAAGGGAAGTCCTCTGAATTTATTAAAAACATTATTCTATTCTTATCACTTACTTGAACACAACCTGATCACAATAACCTCTGTGTTGAAATGTAAAGCACGTTGTGGTTAAAAAAAAAACAAGTGGGAAGCAGTACATCGGGGAAAAAATGGTGTGTACAATATATACAAGGTCCATTCTTCCTCATAACAGTTTGAGGTCTGTGTCAATTCCTTCACGGACATGCGACATCTTAAACCATGTTTAAAATCTGCATGAAAAATATATAAAGCAAGTGTAATTCTTATGATATAGGAAGAGAATTTGTTATAGTTGAGGAAAAAATAAAGATAAATGTATTTTTCTAAATAGATATAATTTCAATATGAAGGATATTAAAAAACACAATGATGTACTTTTAAAAAAGCCCCTTTTCCTACAATATTTTTCCTCTTTCATCAATTACATGTAAAGCAGAATCTATCTCAGACGACTGTCGTTTGCCAGGAGTTTTATATCAAGGAACCAAAAGCATAACAGAAACTGGTAGACCATGTCAAAGATGGGATGCCCAGAGCCCACACGAACACGGTTATGATGTGTTTAGCATCGCAAAAGAGAACTACTGTCGAAACTTCGATAGAGAGGAGCCATGGTGCTATACCAATGACCTGGATGTCCGTTGGGAACTCTGTGGCGTGAATGTGTGTGGTCAGTTTATTTCTATTAAGATGAAAAAAATATTTGAATGTTATTTGAGTTTGATAACCTAAGAATATTTATCTTTTAAATATTTTTTTCAGAAACCCCGTGTCTCAATCGGTCATTTTATACAACGGAAATAAAGAGTCAGTGTGTTTCTGATATCCCACGTGATAGTGAATATTGCAGGTAAGCGCTTTGTATATTAACAATAAAATATAAACGTTCCGTCATTCGGATGTACCAAAGGATACATATTTTACATTGAGGCAAGTTTTAATGAAACATAATAAAAAAAAATATCTAAGTTTTAGAGGTTTAGTTAAAAACATATGACATTGATTTTTTTTTAAAGTAAATAATTCAATTTTGATTAAGTATGTTGCAAAATAGGGTATCATATATGCATTGCTTATAGAGAGAAAACAAATAGTGCATGGTAATCTGTATGTATTGAAAGAATAATGAAATTCTCCAGAATAATTTAAAACATGCCATTTTTATTATTATTTCCTGTCCACTTCATGAACAGCATTGCAATATTTCATCAATGCTATATGCATATTTTCCAGCAATATATTAAACATGGTCTCATGTTTGAAGAAGAATATAGAATACCTCACTGGTTCCAATTGTTTGCAGATTACATGGCGATCTATTGCCTTGCAAATAAGGGGTACTTTAGAAGACTTTACAGGGAAATCCATCTCTCAATGTAAGCTAAGAACGTGAAACACTTTTTGCTGAGAGCAACTTGAAAGAAACCTTCATTTCTAATAGAAGACTATAAATTAGAAGTTGATTTCCAAAGCAAGTTGAAAGAGGAAACAAAGTTATATTAGTAAAATGAAAATTTCTCTCGATTTTCGCTTCTTCAAAGTTTAACAAAAATGATCATATAATTGAAAAAAAAACGTCAATGGATGAAGAGATAGTAGAAAGGGGAATAAATGAACATCAAAGAAAATTTAACAATATCCCGATATCTTAGGAATTTTATTTAAATTTTGTGTATAAGGTATAAGATACAAACAAAATGACTATCACGGTGATAATAATGTGAACTATATATATTCAAAAAGACAAATCCATTTTTTCTTAAAAGGGACATTCTAGTACACGAAATCAAGACCAAGCTGATAAAAAATAAATATTGTAGATCGACCTTTCTAAGATTTAATTGTACTTTTCTGTTTTGCAGGCATTTTCTCACATTGTCGAGATCTCAGCTTGATAGATAGTTCTTCTAATCTCATTAACTTTGCCAGGCCTTGTTTAAAAACAGACATCACTAATGCAAAAAGTATAGATTTACCAACATTTTGCCGGTATTTATTCACAATGTATCTTGATATGACAAAATTAAAATGTCAAAATGAACAAAGCAAGTCATATTGTCTTATTTTATTATTTATTTGGAGTTTTTCTAACTAAATATTATTGAAATATATTAAATGACACCGCATTAGAAATTAAAACTAATATTACTGTAATTAAAAATTAAGTTGTTTTTAAATACTAGTGGTGTTTTCTTTTTTCTTTTTTTTTTTTTTTTGAAGAAGTCGGTTCACTTTATGCATAAAATGGCCCTGTAGATATACCAATTAATTGATCATCACTTGATTTTCTATTTGAAGCATTAAAATAAAATAGAGACTTGGTGCTTTCATATCCTATAAAGAAAATATCTCCTCTCAAAGTTCAGGTCTTGGAGAACTGGCTTTATGAAATTGCAATGTTGTTGAATTTTTACGTAAACAGTAATAATTGAGTACTTTCGGTGAGGAAAAAATTATGAGCGCACCCTCTAATCCAAAAAATAAAACATGTACACGAATCCTTAGAAACAGTTCTATCATTTACTAGTTGCATATTTCAGATCAGAGGTTGCGCTGTGTACCGGTATCAAATATCAAAATGTAGCTTTAAAAATTGGCCGTTTTTGCAGACTTTTTTGGAATATGACGAAATTGACGTATTTGGTGACGTCATAATGCATTGACTAGCCAGAGAATGACGTCTTTTTTATAGGATCGAAGTCACCAAAGATCTAAGTGATATTTTAATGCATTGTTAACTAAAACTATGCAGTTTCAGTTTTTCAGAAATTCGCAGGGCCAGATAAGGCAAAAGTGAACCTTGTTCTTTTCTTTTTTAAATGAATTAGATTGAATGTATGAACAATAATTATAAATCAATAATTATCATTCAAAAATATATATCAAATTTGCAATGAATGCGCCTGAATATGGCAATATTTAATTACGTCTTCTCCTTTCATTTCAATTTAGATTTTTTCAGCGGTTTGGACATTGTGTTGTTTCAAACATGCAAGACAGAGACAAGACGAACTCTACTTGTCTCGTCGGAGATAAATTAATCATTTCCAACAGTATTTTATCTCTCATTCCGGCAAACTATACAGAAATTGTTAGTTTTTGTAAGTATTCTTCGAGACAATGCCAATTTCCCCCCAAGAAATCCCATTAACTTGAAACGAAAGACAACGAAGTGTCTTGCACATGGGCTTCATATTTAAGTATTTTATTATCAAATAACTTATTTTAAACATATGAACAATTCGATGTCACAATTTCTTTCGCCATTTGACCTCATTTATAAAGCCAAAAAGCCCATTTTCAGCTGCATACGGAGTTTTGTTTCAAGCTATATCAATACCAAGATCCTATTTTTCGTAAGATAATTTTCTTAAACGAGATTAAACTCTGATTCACAGGTTCGTGCTGTAAAGGTTTTTACAATTTCATCTAAAGTCAACATTTTGATCAGACTAGGGTTGATACCCTGCATTCTGGCCCTAGGTAAAAATTGACAAACCTCTTTCATACAATTTGCTAAGACATCTTTTAACTGAATCGACCGCAGTACATTCTATCGTGATAAAACAGACTGCAATATTTTTTGTCGACTGTTATTTTTGCTATATCATGTTCTCAGACATCCATGTTTGCTCTGTTAACATTGTCTTGTTTCAATAGACTTTTTTGTATGTTTTCGATTTGTTTAATTCATTCTTAAATGCTAAACGGATCTCTCTTTTTTTTTCAGGTTTCAAATATCTTTATTCTGAATTCTCTGCTCCGCTGGAAAATATAACAGGTAAAACATTGGTCTTTCTATTTAATTCTATTTATATTTTTATTAATATATATATAGTATGGTTGTCTTGTTAGAAATAATAGTACAAATGAATTAAACATATATTACATGGCTTCGAGTGCAGCATACCAGAATATTTGCCCCAAGATGACAGAAAAGCCATGGAGTGTTATGTCGCCCGAGGCCGAATTCCTGTCACCAAGGGGCAATATTCTGGTAATGCTGCCCGAAAATTAAGCCATGTTATATATGGTGTATAACATTTTTAAGCATTGACCCGAAATTGATCATAGAACATATTTATTGAACACTGTGTATACTCAAACAATAAAATGCTTTCTTTGTTTGTTATTACTGGAATTAACGGAAGCAGCTGTTGTAGAAACAAGTAAATTCAAAGAATTATGGCCCCCCGCTTTCGGTGTCGTTTTGGGTGAGATGTCATTTTAATGACATTTTGTGTCTAATATAAACCCTTTCATAAGTCATCTTTTTAGAAATTATCACTGAACCCCAAGGTCAAGGTCAAAAGGGTTAACGTTCTTGGTATCCAATGAAAAGTCTTTTTAAAAGAATTACATATGTGAAATATGAAAGTCCTAGCCCTTACCATTCAAAAGTTATGATCAAGGTTAAAGTTTTCTCATAAGTACAAAAAATTTCCAAGGTCAAGGTCATAAGGTCAAGGTTTTTGGTATCAAATGAAAGGTCTTGCCACAAACAACAGATAAAACACTTGGGAATCATGAAAAGCATCGATATACCATTGACAGTTACACAGATTTGACCTGTCTACTTGCTACCGGAAGTGTTGTTGAACCTAAACTGTTGGGGCGCCACCTATATTTCTACAAAAGGGGCAAAACCGACAAATATCGGCAATTACAAAAACACTTCACAGGTCCTTGATATCGAATATTTGAAACATTATCCTCCATTGTGTTCATGTTTTCCTTCACCATGTTACGATAGCCCTCTGCAAACGTTATTATATGTGACGAAAAATACTATTAATAAGGACCTCAGATAACTAATTCAAAAATGTTCTGAATAAAGGGACTCCTGATTCTTCAACTGACGTTTGAATATCATAAATATTATGGATACTGTTGAAGATTACGCCAGGTAATTGGCCAGATATAAAAAAAAAAACGAAGACGTTGTTACAATCGCATATCAACAGATTTTGGGGCAAATTGAAAACCATTTCTCCTTCTGTATTCAATAATTTTGAATTTGAAAAAGAATTAGATATATTACATGAATACGGTGCGTACTGATCCTTGCTGACAAAGCAAGTAACAACATTGTCTTTGTTTGTAAGGCTCATTATATAAAGTGTAGTTTTTTGGAGGACTTGGATTTAATTCTACAAGTAAAAATCAAACTTGTAGTCAGAGTTCATTTTCTAATGAAGAAAGTCTCCGAAATCATGTCAGTTTTGAATATTTATAATATCTCAAACAACTAAAATAAATAGGGCTGGGCAAAAATACCGATATTTCAATATATTGCAATACAATGACAAAAAATATCGTATTGCAATACGTTTTTGTAATATCGATATATCGGCAAAATTCTTAAACTAAGGAATTGTAACATAAAACATTAAAATAAATGTTAGAAAGGTTTGTTATGAAGCCAAACAGTAAGACAGAAGCTGTTTTATGGTTGTATTTCAGAGCACAACTTCACAAAAATCAACAAGATTTTTTTTCTTTGGGTTACTTATCATAGTTATGTTCATTCTGCATATTAATTAAAGTTAATATAAGAAGAAAATGCCATTTTATTTTCATTTAAAATATTGCAATACATATCGCAATGCAATTAACGAGGCCGAGTCTAATTCGAGTGCGCATCACTTTGCGCAGCTTTTTAATTTCATGCAGTCATTAATTATTTTAATTTTAATACAATATTAACGTTATTTGTAACTCCTACTGATCTGAAAATGTGATTTTACGACAATTATTGGAAAAAGAACGTTGAAATGGCTCTAACAACGTCACCATAGATATGTATTTTTACCGTAATATGGCAATTTTAGAGGTATTTGGCTTCAACCTAGACCAATCGAAATGGTGAACCTTTTTTGAAATTTCACAATTTGGTGACTTTTTACATTTACTTTCATTTAATTGAATGAAAAAGAAATCCCTAGGGCAGAAGTGCAAAAAATATTGAAAAAATGTTATAATTTGATGATTTTCCAACAAATTCCCATAGGATCCAATAGTAAAGTTTGACAACATTTAAGATGGCCCACTAAGAAAACGGGGTGGTAAACATTCGATATTTTAATCCTAAAACAATTAATATAACAGTAAAAATTAAATATCAAAAAATTATCAAAATCCCTAGGGCAGAAATAAATAGACTCGGCCTCGTTAAAAATATCGCAATATATCGCAATACGAAATCTCTGGCCAATACCCAGCCCTAAAAATAAATTTGCAATACCAAATCAATATTGGATTCCGAAGCTTCATATTAAAAATCCTTACAAAGTTACATAGCGGGTTCCAGTTAATGTTTAACCAAGCCTCTTTCATTACTCCTAACTAAGATATTAACAGTAGTTAAAGAGAAACTTCAAGAGTATTGTACAACAATATACTTGAGAAGTGGTGTAAATCAGATGTGAATATTCAAATATTTCAAGGAACTTTTAAACAACTTCACCACAATCAACAGTTGAAAAACTTATGACTTTTCAGCTTTATACACAAGCATTCAATGCGATAAATTGAAGTCAGGTTTTTATTTTAAAATATCATTACCAGTTGCTTTTTAAATACAAATGGAACTCGTAAATTTACTTACATTGTCATTGGTCATTTGAAAAGTGTTTGGTTATGCAGGGGTTATAAGGAAGTATACAAAATATTCTACCTTGACTACATCAGTACTACATTATGACGTCATAATAAGCGAGATGACGTCAATTTTAAAATACACGTTTTCGTAATATTGGTATTTAGAGATGTAATTTAACTCTAGAAAATGAATAGAGACGTGTAATCATTAACAAAAATAAAATGTTCTTATTTTGTTATGCTGTATTCTGTCATTTTGATTGAAATCTACCATCGATGACGTCATATGTGTACATAGAGTAACTTGGGAATTGATCATGTCGTGTAAGAGAATTTGGCTATGACGGCTTGTACAAAAATACGTGAAATTGAGTTTAAAATCAAATATCATTAATAATATGTAAAATTCATATTGATTTCAGTTAATAAAACAGGATTGCTAATTTATTTTCATCGATGATATTCTCTTTCAAAAACAGTCAGCTATATACGTATCCCGGTCGGACTTTCCTCTGTCATTTGTAATACAAATAATGCAGCAGAACAACAATAAGCTGGATATTTCAAAACATGAATTTGTACAGATAGAAAGTGCTGCTAGAATCCCGAGTTGAGCATGCTTTTACGAAAAATCTTGGTTGATATGTATAAATTCAAAACACAGGGTAAGGTTTTTTTGCGAATGTGTGAAATAATTATTTTACTGACAGGACAGTGAGATTCTAGCAGCACTTTTTAGGCAAAATAGATGTTTTTCAACTCTATTATTTACTCAAAGAAATTAGTAAACTCCGGGGTAATGTTGTTTTGTTAGCCTTTTTATTAAGGAAAATTTCGCTATAAATAGAAGTCACGTGATGCTGTGGCAGTTTTGCATGTCTTTGTTTTAGACACTTTTTTTTATCTGTATTCAGTAGTTAATAACGTTTATCAGCGGTTTTGGTAATTTATCAAACTAAATTTTCTTTAAAAAGTCTAAATTTTTCGAGAAATGACTTATATGCTTTTTTAACATACCCGCGTAAAAGATTCTGATTGTACAACCAAGTACTCTGTAATGACTCCAAGAAGATGCTTGAGTTTCTGATTAACAATATATATGTGGTTTTTGAAAACCAGGCCTCCCAACAACATAATTGAATTCCCATGAGTACCAATTGCGCTCTGTTATTAGCAGACCTACTATATTCATGTTTGTACTCATGAAACAGGATTCGTCCAAAGTAGTTTACGAGAAAAGAAGAAAGTTTATTACCTTGTCAGTAAATACAATTTATCAATGCTGACTGAAATTTTTCATTCTAATTATTAGTTCACACTGATTATTTACACACTTGATTTACAAAGGACATATCTGCTATTTCCCGATCATGACAAGGAGCAAACTGCTTGAATTGTTTTAGAAAGTGTTTGTATGTATACCAAACACTTGCGAATTCTTGCGTATGAATTCATAATTATAAGAGATTTAAATAAATATATATACACACAAGGATATAATTTTACTGCATACGTAAGGAAAGATAATGATTGAAAAGATGCTTAGCATTAACAAAATGAATGTTTGCTTTAATTTAGAAAGAACATTACATATAGTTGTAATATATACACAGTGGATTATGTCAATTATCTTATTTAGATTTATTCCTACAGGAGTCATACAGGTCATTTTATTTGATTATTATATGATTTAATTATTTGATTTAAAGACCTCCATATCATTCAACTCTTTACATTTTATATCAGCAAGAACAATGAGATTTTTTTCTTATCATTCTTAAAACATTGTACCTCAACTTTTATTCTAATCATTATAATTCAGCGGTCGTGGGAATTAGTCCAGGTATTGTAAGAATCGCGAATAAAAGATGATACAAATACTGTAAAATAATATATATTTGGAGGGTCAATTTTTCGACGATTAATGGAAAATTTGAGTTCGTGGCGTTTTCATTTCGCGAAAAAAAAACGCTTCACATAAAGTTGTATATAAGAAATTTTATATTCTTGGTTGACATAAATTCATGGATCTCTTTTTACATCAAAAACAGCGTAAATTATACCCCAACAATAAATCAGTGGTTTTGCAGTATTAATTTCTTTACTTTAAAAGAAGATTTGAAATGTAAATTTTAAAGGAAAACGTTTTGTCCATCTATATTTGTTTTTGCTTCAGTTCGCAAATTTTACATATATTTTTCAGTATTTGTAAATTATACACAAAAGCAGCAATGTTCAACATTTGACGACAGTCTCTTTTCTCTTAGACCCTAATAATATTTATCAAGATACTACACTGTCTGCAGAAAGTATGGAAACAAACACCCAAATAACAAACTTTTCCCAAACAGCAATATTTCGTAAGTTGACACTGATTGTATATATTTTCATTTTTAACATAAAGATTTGAGGCTACGATTCTGAAAAGGAAATTACAGCCTACTCCGGATATATTGAAATTCAGGGGACCATGCAAATTATTTCAATATATCCGTAATTCAATATAAGCGAAATCGTTAAGCCGCCATTTTAACAAGTTCAATCCCGATCTAAAATAAAGAAGAACAAACCCGAACAAATTAGTTTTGTAATCGTTTATCTATTATAACAGTTAACAGATTACAAAGAATATGAGTCCTTGAAGTTTTAAATATTTTTTTTTATATTTGTTTCATTGAAAAGACAATCTTCGATTCACCCCGCATTATTATTCCCCGATCGCAATTATTTACGTTTTGGAGAAAATTCACGGACTTGAATAGTTACATGTAAGTACTGCTGAATGCTGCTTGTATTTCATCGTACATATGTAAGTGTACTCGGGTTAATCCCTATAGTTATTTCGAATTTAGGCATATGAATTAATAAACAGTATGTATTTAATTTCAAATTATGTTTTTTACTTAGATCTGTGGGGGTAACTATATTACGTTTAGCTGTTTAGCCTCAGTATGTCCGTATTTTATACGTGGACACAAAAAATTGAACAGCAAGAATTTTATTTCGTAAGAACATGCAGTATTAAAACACAAATGTTGAAAACTAAATAATTCACACCTTTGTATATCAACTGCTCAATCAGGCATAATTACTGTCACCAACCGTAACGGTTCATTCTACCTATTCCCACTTTTTGAAAATTAGGTAGGAAAAGGTAAGATTTCATGTGGGAATAGGTAGAATTTTTGTCTAAACAAATAATTAACTATGAAAACATGTAACTACTTTGTAAACAATTATCGACAATTATTAATGAATACCTGTTGGAATAGAGAACTGGTATATTTACTTTTTAGAATTTCGAATCAGGCTTTTTAAAAAAATATTTTAAAAAAAAATAGGTAAATTAAATTATTTTTCACATTGTTCATTTTAAATTTCAGCTATTCAATCTTTTTCCCCTATAAATCTATTTATGTTCTAGAATCAAGATATGAAATGCTTATTCTTGTAAGACCTTTTTCTTTGTTATTTTCTCAAATCCATAAATTTTCTTACAGTGTATAAGTGCAATAGTTCATATTTTTCATAAATGTATTCGTTATTTTCCGTCTTAAAATGTACAGAATACTGATAAATCTAAGAGGGGACGTATTAAGTCTATTACTGTAAAAACAAATTAACTATCTAAACATCTATTGTTATTTGCAAGTGGGAATAGGTGGAATTTAGATTTTTAAAAAGTGTGAATAGCTAGAAGACACCACCGTAACGACAGCCGCCAGGGAGTACCTCAATATAACCGTTATTAAAACAACTTATTATCACCTGTGGGGACCGATCAGTGGCTTCAATATAAGCAAAATTTCAATATAACCGATTTTAATATAACCGTTATTTTAATGCAAAGAATATGAGAGGCAAAATCTCGGGATTTATTTCTAATTCAAAATAAGCAGAATTTCAAAATAAGCGAGTTCAATATAAGTGGAGTAAGCTGTATTTTCTTTCAAATTTAACAATTGAATACACAACACTTTATTATTTTTAAATATTTATTAGGTTTGATTTAAATGTTCTGATTGTAGTCATGGTAATATTATGTCAAAGATTTTATTGATTTTGTTGTTGACAGCAATTTTTGCCGTGGACATATTTCAAATAGAGAGATAGAAAAAAGCTTAAAACAAATAAAGATTAGTGTATTTTTCTCAAAGCAATGTAAAAAATTCAACATACATCATTTTTTTTAAACGTAATCATGTACTTACAATTGTAAGTTGTATGTTGTAGTTGCAGTGGGATTCGCGGTTGTACTAATATTTGCCGCCAGTTTTGCAATCATTGTGTACAAAATAAGGTCTGTGTACTTAAATATCATTTCAAATTAGATTTGATCAAATATTTAAATACAAGTTCAGATGAGTACATTTGTATCTTATAGAATGTATTATAAATCCTTTACTATTCCTTAAGGACATTGGCAAGGTTTTTGGATTTAGTATAGAATTTTTAAAGAAGTTTTGAACAAAGTTAAAGGTACAAAACATGTTCAATTCTGCCATATTTAACCCACCAAGCCAGCTTTCCTTTTTGTCGAATCAATGCATATGTTTTCACAATTATTCCCAATGCATTTCCTATGTATAATCTTCATAAAAAGGACCTTCATTATTTTTAAATATGCAATTTTTCTAACACCCATCTATTTCATAGACGTTTTAATAAAATACATTGTTTTATTCTTTTTTCCGATTACATGTATATATTTTTGCTAAAAATGCAAATATAGAAACAGGAAAGAGAAACATACTGTTCTTTAATTTTGAGATGCTTTCCTTAGCATTTAATTATTATTCATAATGATCAAGAGTTTCTGTCTTGAAATTTATGTTATTGAAAACAGATTGTCTAAAATGTTTTTTGGATTTTTTAAAAACTTTAATTAGTAATTACTATACTGTGCCTTCTTTACATGATTTATATAAAACTACTGTTCTTATCCGGTAACCTAGCTTTCACCACTTTCAGCATGCTAACCATACGTCACATCTTTGCCCTTCCCAGCATAACATGGAAAATGACGATCTGGTGCCTGTCTGCCCCTTTAGTTTACACAAAGTACAACAAAGCCATCACTACTTTTCTTGTTTTGAATATTTTTTTTATTCAATCCGTGTCATTGGTAAAGCATCCGTAAAAAGCTAACATATGTGCTTTTGTTAACCTCTGTAACATTTGCGTTATATATTTCCGCCACCTACATGATTCCAAACGGGAGATTACTCTCAATGGCTGTATTCATTAATAAAAAAAAACTTTATATTTAACCTTTTTTTCTCCGGAAACTCTAACTAGCCAAATACCTAATTTTCTGGACTTTAAAAAATCAGTTAAGGGCTGGTTTTTTTTTCAAAAGCGTCACTCTCTAAGAACTTATCTGAGAAAATTTATCAGTTGTCTCTCGTCGTTATTGTTGTAAACCTTATTTCTCATTTTATCATCCCAAATCCACTTGAAGAAATTTTGCATAATGCTTTTTACATGTATAAAGAGTTTTCAAATCTATTGACATAAAGCGCTAAACTTTTTTTTAACGGATTATAATTAAGAATTACTGAAAATTTACTGCCATCTTGTAAAAATCTTTTCCCTAAGAACCAATGAGACAGAAAACATAGTACACAGAATTGATATTTTTATGAAATATTGACTCTTATTTCAGAAACTCTATTTACATGACGATTTCTTTTCCCAAAATCCTATAGAAAAATAACAATGAGAAAAAGACGAAAAGAATTGATGCGCCTCCCAAGTATTCCAAAATCAAAGGACTCTCCGTACGAAATGAGATTAACCAATCTAGAAAGTCCGTATTCCGATCCCGACTATGAAATTATGGAGGAACAAGATGAGCGTTACGAACATTTGCCCGAACCAGGAGAAACTACTTTAACTCTAACAGACGAAGATGGACCTTATATAGATTCTAATAATGCAGACGGAACATATTTAGATGTAGTGAACAGCGTAAACGGACCTAATGATTACGTCAACGTTTCTCCCTACATTGATTTATTAGATGATACGATTGATGATGATCTTAAGTCAGAAGCTGTGGACATTTTACAATCAGAGAATGCTGCTGCAAAAAACGTAACTGAGAAAATAGATGTGGACAAAAAAAAAGAGATAAACGAAGATTTCCCACCATAAATGTTTATGAATTCTAAAACTCAATAATTTTTTAGCCTGCATACAGAAATATTGGATGTGAAGAATTTGAATCAAAAACAGTCTACGTATCTATATTTTTTTTCATCTCAAAAGCAAAAAAAAAAAAAAAAAAAAAAAAAGCAAATACATCATTTTTTTAGTTAATCTGTTATATATCCACATTGATAATTTCGGAAATTTATCAAAACATTTAATACATGCATTTGTCAGTTTTATTTCTTCATTTATTTGTCCCTTAGCGATGATACCGGATTGAACATTAGACAAAACAGTTTACTGCATTTATTAATGATGGAAAAACAAGCTAATTCTTACAATATTTTTTAAACATCAATATTGGATACAATTTTCTCCTTACACATAAAGACAGATGTCTTTGAAATAAAGTGACCATCCAAACAAGAAAAATGTACATTCTTCCACTTGTATTATTAAGACTTTCAAAAGATTTGCGGTGCCTTATTTCACTGGATGGACAAGGGGATGTAAACATAGTGTCATTACCAAAACCAAGACAAATTTCTTCCAAATTATGTCTCTATTTTTGATTAAAGTTACTGCAGTAGTCTTTTCGGTTACACATGTAAGTGATTTATAAGTTGCTGCAAAATTTAGAGTAAAAGTTAGATATTTAATTATTTGTCAATAAACGGGGGGTTGTATAACATATAATCCTTTGGATCCCCTTTGAACCCATATACACTGGACACTTACGTTTTTATCATATCTCAGAAAATGTTATTCATGGGTATTCAAAACTCTTATAAAACGATACAAGAATGATACATTTCGTTCACAATTTTTACATTATTTTAGTTTGTAGTGTGGTACAAAATCATTGATCATAAAACAGGAAACTCAGGAGAACAAAATAAAGGTATTTTGTTATCTTATTTTACCATGTGTAGGTTATTTATTAATTTAACAGTTTATTATTTTAACAATTTCAAACATAATAATAAATTAATGTTCCAGTTCAATTAAACAATGTAAATAATTTGAATCAAAACAGTATTAACATGTGATTTTATAGTTAATGCGTAGAGTTAACGATGTGCACGTGGAAAGGACATGGTAACACTATACAGCTGTAAGCTGAAGCTTCTAGTATAATATATGGGTAAAAAGTAATTAACCTTTATCATTTGTTATCTCAATCTTATACTCTTTTTTGTACACTGCAAAATCGGACATTTCCTTACGTGTGATTACATATAAACAACGTGTAATTGGGTACATAATTAAACTAGCAAATAGATACTGTGAAAACCAATATGTTTGTGTGTCTTGATTTTTGTGGTTTTCGAGTTACGAACAAATATTTTTTCCTTATTTTACTGTTCACAGAGTCTGACACATCTGTTTCATATCTGGATATTTCACTTGAGAAAGACTTAAGGATGTACAACACAGCTACCCCAAAAAATTCCTGTCGTTTAATTTTCGTTATTTTTGTATATATAGTACATGACTATATCTACTGCATGTATGCATATTTTGGACAAAATCGTTCGAGTGGTTTTTGGACAGGAACTTCCGAAAGTTACCCCCCTTTACTTGTTTACAAGGAGAGAAAATTTTTAATTAATGCACTACTTAAACCTTGATTTAAAAAAAACCCAGGTTAGATATAAATGTCAAATTTCATAGGCTTATTTTTTTAACCATTTAACACAAAAACATAGTCATCTTTTTGATATACATATCATCAAAACAATTTTTAAAGACCTTAAACTGAAAAACTATGAATTTTCTATGCCTTGAAAATTGCGTATTTTTCAAATTCAAATTTTTTTGTGAAAAAACCTGTCGTTTAATTTTTGTAAAAAAACTCTCTTTAGGCAGCTGGTAGTAAAAATAATCTTCATAATTTTTTGTATAATTTTTGTACGACCAGTTTTGATTTAATAGCGGAAAATTACCCCCTCCCCCTTTCTCAATAAAACACGTTCCCGCGCGTCTTTCGGACGGGGGTTGATCACTTTGTTATATGACTCTACAAATACACATTAAAAAAAATTAAATTGGAATATTGCTTTTGCTTCAAAAATATATTAACTTACAAATTTAAAAGTTCTCATATGTAAAGCGTATTTAAATGTAGATTTTTAGGCAATTTTTGAATACTAGTACCCCTATCACCCCCACCCCTTCCTTTTTTGCGTCGCAGACCATTTAACGTTTGACGAAACGTTTACAGTGCAAATATACTGGTATTTCGTCAAGAATCTCTGAGGTATGCATTAGTTTTTAAATTCATGAATGCAGAATAAATATTGACTACTCTTTTTATATGTATCAGGAAAAAATTACTGAAAGATTTTAGTGTCTAGTCCATATACGTTTGCGTTATGCATTCCATACTAGTATCTCATGAAACCTAGATAGAATTCAAGTTTTGTTGAACTTGAATATGTTGATTTTTAATTTTATGTCTTTAAATTTATTCAATAAAAAATGGTATTTGTTCAACTCTCCTGTCCTGTGATATAAATGGAATAATTGTAGTTTCTTTCATGTCATTATTTCAAACGAGACAGTATGTGTGGACGTGGGGATACATCGACATTTGCATCTATAGATGTACACCCGTCATGATATTGTACGCATTTCTTTCAATGTCGTCGCTTCTAAAGTTAAAATGAAAATTCCGTATTTGTCCACATTAACTTCAAAATATCAATAATTAAACTCTTCATCTATTTCAATTTATATCAAATCGCACATTGATATTTTTTTTAAAATCTTAGGCTAAGTTTTGTTTTGATTCGAGGAAATGCGAACCGACTTTATTGACAGAAAGTCAAAGTTACGATTTGCTGATATAGGCCTAGGATATTCATATGATAAATGCAGATAATTTCAGTAACAAGTAAACAATTCTTTTCAATTCTATACTTACATTGTGCATTTGAGGTCTGTAGTATTCAATTCTCGGATTTATCAGGTCTTGCTGTGTATATTAGATTGATTCTGTGGAAAACCGTGAATAAAGGGAGGAAAATAAACATCTCCTACATTTTCAGAGTTGTTCCTCTTTGATCAGTAAGGGTCTGAGAACAACATCGATTTTACATTGTAAAAAGTTTTTTGTTTATTTAATATTGTTGTTTTATTTAATTAAAGAAGAAAAGCAATATTTATATCGTGTATGCACAAATTGTAATGAAGACCATTAATCGGAATGTTATATAGCCAATTGTACATAATGATTGATTGAGTGTATATTATTTTACATCGGACCCTCTCGAGAATTTTTCACTCATATTGAGACGCCTTGTACATAAAGAGAATTTCGGAAAAATAAAATTTTAAGAATAAAAAAAATGCTGCGCTTTGATCAAAAATACAATTTATTGTATATGAAATGAAATGAAATAAACATTAAGGGATGGTATTTTAAGTCTTGCTTTTTACGGAGTTTAATCGGGTTAATTAAAAAAATACTAATTAATTGAGTATGCTACGCACATCACAGCCAAGCCCCATATCCCAATTTTCTTTCATGATTGATATGCATCGGGATCGTTTTACTCGTCGTTTTGACGCTTTATTTTTGACGTAAAATTTGACGTCACGTCAAACGTTCAATTGAAATGGCAAGAGTTATCTCCCCCAGTGTGTTGTGGTAATCAAACAACCAAGCTCTCTCATGACTTTAATTTTCTAGCTAAACTTTATTGGCGTCCACGTTTAAAGTCATCAGTTCATAAGATTTATGGCTGACACAATGACCTTGTCAGCAAATACAATTCATCATTGAGTCAAATGCTGAATGACATTTCCATACTAATTGTTAGTTCGTTATTAAAACCCCATAGACGAAGGATTTTCTCGATATTTCCTGCTCATGACCAGAAGCACACGGTGGATGTGACCAGTTGGAGGGGGTGCTCACTTCTCCATGGCACCTGATCCCCCAAAATGTATTTGATTTTGTCCCTTCTAAGTATACAGATAATCTTTCCAATAAATCTAAGAAATTTTAAGTAGACTTGAATGTATTTTTTCACGATTTGTAGATAAACAAATTTATATTACTACTTCTCACGTTTTGCAAGATTCTGCGTACACAATAGAGCTACTCTTACTTGTATTTTGACGGCGCATATCGGCCATCTTACTTTCGATTCATGTTAAAGCATAGAAAATACAGAATTTTCATTATTATAGTTTTTCTACCTGCTTGCAATGCAAAAAAAATACTTGCAAAAGAACGGATACAGAGATGGTTGCCTTTAACGAGGAACCATAGAAAACAATTTAAGAACTATCACAATCCATTATAGCCAATAGCTTATCAAAATGTAGTAATCGATAATTTCTGCAAATTATTACTGTAGAGTCCTTATTTTTCGCGAGTACTTTTATCGCGAAATGGCCCTTAAACGTCAAATTGCGAGTATTATAATTAGCGAATGGACGGTTGATCAACAGAATTTTACATTGAATTTCAGCACCATAAAAATAAAAGCGAGTTACATTTTTTACGAGTGATGCTGCTCGCGAAATTACGCGGAAATTCATTCCTCGCGTATAATTAAGAATCTACAGTATTGAGTAAGTGAATTAAAAAAAAAAATAGGTTTAAATCATTTCAAGATATATTATGTTGCGTTGTTAAACAAATTCTCATTTTAACAATGTGACGTTAAATTGTGCAAAAATCCATGTGAGCTTAATACGTGCGCGGAGCTGTATTGTTTAATAATCCCATTGTAATCAAACTACATTGACTTGCAACTTTGAGTATGCATTTACTGTGAATTTAGTAATTTAAAATGTCCAAATATACTACTTACATGAAGAACTTTAAAAAAAGATTAAGCTTTGGATATTTTTCGAAAAAACAAGCGAGGTTTAAAGTAGGTCTACAGTCGCACTACGTTATTTACGAATAGGAAAACCACGCTTCCTTTTTCCGAGATGTGATTTTTGAACTATATTGGTTTGACTTTTACTTAGCGTTTTTAATATCCGGTAACGATTTTGCTCCGAGTCGCTCGCGTCAACAAACGTACAAACACTGATTTTACAGTTTAGTTAATTAAAAAGAGAAGGTTGGGAACAACTTTCGGTTGACAGAAATAATTAGGTAAGAAAATGATATTTCTGTGAATGATGCTTGTGTTATATGCCGTGCCGATAACACGGACCACGACAATAAGTATTTGGTGTGTATAATTATTGTTTTGAATATGTACAACTTTTAATACAAATATACACTCAAACATTAACAGTATTACAGGAAAATGTGGCAAAATATTACTTCTGGAAGAAGGAAATTAGGGGGGTCCCTTTAGTGTTGAGCTCATACCACGAAAAGTAAGGCGTTAACATATATTTTTTTAAGCTTATTCTTTTTCTTAAATATTATTTAGTAAAAATAATGCAAATTTACGAAGTTTGAGTCCATAATTTTTTTTTAAATGACTGAGATTGACCTTTGAAACATATTTTCCCATATTAAATTTTGATACGTTAGCCTGACAAAGTGCATCTATTTATAATAATTCAAGCAAAACAATGATTATATATTGTTTACTAACATTTTTCTACTTTATTTTGGGCATTAAAGTTGAACATTTATACTTTAATTCATTTATATATAACAAAATCTAGGATAGGTAAATTTTCAATATTTTACATTTCGAGGTATATACTCCAATAGGCAATAGCGGAATAGTTAACATGTTGACATATATTTCTTCTTGCGTCTATCCATTGCTGGGATGTATGTCTATCTTATAAAAGCAGTTTTTTTAAAGATTGAGCCCATTTAGTGCCGAGTATAGAACTACCTTAAGACATACTAATACGTACTGATTTAACAAAAGTTACAGTCTTAAAATTTATAACAAATTGACTATTGTTTTAAAGATGAGCGTACAAAATATATCATTATATATATTCTTAAGGGAAAATTATTACACTGAGGAAATGCTAAAAGATCCTTACATCCTTTCTTTCATTGTTTCTAATAGTGCATACACAGAGAGGAAGTTAAACCCCGTCTTGGTCTTGTTTCTTGTTTCAGTTTATCAATCTTTCCCTTTTAATAGAGATAAACTCGACATGAAACGTTTGTTTTGTAAATTGTTTCAGTTTTGCAATATATCTCCCTCTTGACAGAGAATAACTGAACATGTAACTGTAATGGAAAAAACTGAAATGATTACTTTAAGGTTGTTTATTGGAATCTTTTTGTATTCTGTTACAGGTAATTTAACTTCTCAGTATAAGAGGCAGTAAATTAATAACACTGTTGATTGTGAAATGTTTTCTTCTGAAACTTAATTTTTTTTAAATGTCACAACATAAATATAAAGAAAAAGAAATATCTTATATACGGAATGACAGTCCTCGATTTACAATAATCAACAAGTTAACTGACATAGATTTGTATACTACATGTTTATTTAACGAGGCCGATTCTAATTATTTCTGACCTAGGCTAGGGATTTTGATAATTTTTTGATAATTAATTTTTACTGTTGTTATTATTGTTTTAATATTAAAAGATAGAATGTTTACCACCGCGATTTCCTAAAAGACCACATAAAAATTTATCATATTTTACGAAAAATTGGACCCTATTGGAATTTGTTGGAAAAACGCCGATTTATCACATTTTTATTATTTATATTATTTCTGCCCTAGAAATTTCTTTTGCAGTCAAATACATGAGAGTTATTGTAAAAAGTCACCAAATTGTGAAATTAAAAAAAAAAAAAATTCAAAACCTACTTTGGCTTAGGAATAAATAACTATGTTTATTATTTTAAGCCCAATACCTCTAAAATTGCCATATTATGGTATTATAACTACATATCACTGTATATGAATTATCGGCACATATGTTTTTTGGGGTAAAAAAATTAGCAATGTTTAAATTGATAGTATGCTTCTTTATGTCTTCTGTCATCAGTTTTCTATGTAATATCCATGGACGTCTTGAACATACAAGCGAGTTATGCGTCATTCTTCTGCGTCATGCGTTGGGTACAAAATCCAAAAATGGTGACGTCGGTAGAGCCATTTCAGCGTTCTTTCCTTCATTGTCGTAAAGTCACATTTTAGACTAGTAGGGGTTACAGATAATGTTAATTTTGTATTAAAATCAAGATATTTAGCAAAACTGTACTGTCGCACAAAAGACTGCATGAAATTAAAAAACTGCGCACTCAAATTAGATTCGGCCTGTTTAAAGTCTTATTTGTGTTTCTTTTAAATTCAAAATTAAATAATAATGATGATTGTTATTATTATTATTGCATGTAGTACCATCATATGTAAAACAATCACTAATTTATAGAGTTTTTTTTCTCTTGGTCCTAAATTTCAATGTTAGAGGAAACGCATCAAACTAATTTCCATTGAATCTAAAAAACACAATTATCTGCTTTACTTTTGAATGGAATCAGGTAAAGTCTCCTTGAGATATCAATACTTTTTCTTATTAATTAAAGCGACATAACTGATAGTTAAAGTATTATTAATATTCTTTGGCGTCGGAAGCAAATAACAAAGGGGCTTTTGGCTTTCGTGCTTTCGTTCGTGCCTCGCCGTACAGTTAAGATGCGCAATGGAAATATCGAATAAATTTTGCATTTAAAAATGTATTTGTAATCGGGATGGCGATTATTTTTAGTACATTATATATATCGGATAATTGTAATTATGATTAATAACAACATATCGAGGACGATTATATTTCATATTTAGACTAGTCAAGTGATGCTGAAGTCACGCGATTTCAGCACATTGACTTGAAGTATTGATGTTACATAAATATATCACTAGTGCAAGGGTATAACCATGTTAAATTTCCAAGTTTAGTTTATAAATATTTTCAACACGCATTGTAGTTTCAAAAAAGTGCTGCGATCCTGTCTAAATTATGCAATTTCCTTGATAAAGTTATACCTGTATGACGGAATGCTATATTGTTTGCTGGTCAGCGGCATGAAATATTGATAAACACTGTAATTAAATTGTTTTTTTAAGATTTCGTCAGGATCGCAGCACTTTTCAGATACCTTAATAGTTCCATAGTTGAAATGTAAAAGCTTACTTTGATCTATAGAGTGTATGCCCTTGCACTATTGATCGATTTATTAAGACCCTCCACACTACCCTCCGATGTACTTGCATACAAATATACGGCAGTGTCAATTAAATACGTAATGTACAGAAAATATATTAATAAAATAGTCATTAAATTCAAGTTATTGACCCATAGAATATCTGTAAATAATATTTTATTTAATTAGAGAATACATATTTTGTTGAGAAAATATTACTTGATCTGTCTCTCACTGCATACACACTACGTCACGTTGTAAGAAATGATGTCATATTGACAAGTGTATTGCGATAAGTGACTTGTGACTTGTTTATAGCTTGTTATGTGGGATTTAACTAACGACAAAACAAAACAATGTAGTAAGTGTTTATGTAGTTTGATGATTTCTTACTGGTTAAATTAGCAGATAAACTCAATTTGTTGTATTTTAAAGAAATGTTGTATGACGTATATTGTGTATGATGTCGAAGTTTTCCTGCACAAATAAGTCTCCGCCTTCTTTTTTTAACCTTAACTGTGCTGCGCTGCAACCATTTAAATTTCGATGGGTAGTGCTAAACCTAAGTCGCAATTTTCAATGCCTATGCTTGTTTATGAATCACAAACAAAGGGAAGTCCTCTGAATTTATTAAAAACATTATTCTATCCTTATCACCAGCTTGAATACAATCTGATCACAATAACCTCTTTGTTGAAACTTAAAGCACTTTGTGGTTAAAAAACAAGTGGCAAGCAGTACATCGGGAAAAAATGGTGTGTAAAATATATACTTGGTCTAGTCTTCCTCACGGCGGGTGTGACCGGTAAGCAGGGGATGTTCACTCCTCCATGGCACCTGATCCCACCTCTGATGTTTCGGAGATCCGTGTTTGCTCTTCTCTTGTTTTGTATTGTTTTATGGACTTTGTGATTTAATACTCGTTAATAATCGTTATCTCCATATCCTTCTCATAACAGTTTGAGGTCTGTTTGAATTCCTTCACGGACATGCGACACTTTAAAAGAAATTTAAAATCCACATGAAAAAATACATGAAGCAAGTGTAATTCTTATGATAAATGAAGAAAATTTGTTAAGTTTGAGGAAAAATAAAGATAAATGTATCATTCTAAATAGATATAATTTCAATATGAAGCTATTAAGGATATTAAAAAACACAATGATGTACATTAAAAGAGCCATATTTTCCTAATATATTTTTCTTCTTTAATCAATGATATGTAAAGCAGAATCTATCTCAGACGACTGTCGTTTGCCAGGAGTTTTATACCAAGGAACCAAAAGCATAACAAAAACGGGTAAAGCATGTCAAAGATGGGATACACAGAGTCCACACGAACACGCTTATGATGTGTTTAGCCTTGCAAAAGAGAACTACTGTCGAAACTTTGATAGAGAGGAGCCATGGTGCTTTACCAATGACACGGATGTCCGCTGGGAACTTTGTGGCGTGAAAGTGTGTGGTCAGTTTATTTCTATTAAGATGAAAAAAAATATTTGAATGTTATTATACAATTATGGACTCTAGTGTAGGTCGATATGTGGTTATAAGGACTCATGGCAATTGATATTGACCGAAGACACAAAAAGTGATAGCAACCGAGCCTTTGAGGTCGCCATAATTTTCTGTGTCTTTGGTCAATATAAATTGCCTTATAACCACATATTGACCGTTCACTGAAGTTCATTATAGTTATATTATATAATCACTCAAAGTGAATGCACTAACACAGTCCTAACTAAACAGACTTGGCTGTCATTACGTCAAAATGATTAAAAATACGCTTCGCATACTATGACGTCGCGTTTCACGTAACTTCAGTGCAACCGAACGCTGTGTCGTGCGTTATCATTTTCCGCCGACATGCTTTCGCGTCGTTATCACAAAAGGAGGAATATCACATGACGTCCTTTCAGCCAATGAAGATTACGAAAATATTTTTCTTATATAATATTTGAGTTTGATAACCTATGAATTTTTATCTTTCAATTTTTTTTTCAGAAACCCCTTGTCTCAATCAGTCATTTTATACAACAGAAATAAAGAGCCAGTGTGTTTCTGATATCCCAAGTGATAGTGAATATTGTAGGTTAGCGCTTTGTATATTAACAATAAAATATAAACGTTCTGTCAATAACATGTACAAAAGGATATATATTTTACATTGAGGCAAGTCTTAATTAAGCATAATAAAAATAAAGATATCAAACTTATAGAATTTTAGTTATGAACATATGCCATTAAATTTCTTTATCTTATATAAATAATTCAATTTTGATTAAGTATTTGGGAAATACTGTAGGTCATCATATATGCATTGCTTATTGAGAGAAAACAAACAGTGTATGATGTTCTTTATGTATTGAAAGAATAATGAAGTTCTCCAGAAATATTTAAAATATGCCATTTTTTAAAATTATTTTCTGTTTTCTTCATGAACAAAATTGTAATATTTCATCAATGCTATTTGCATATTTTCCAGCAATATATTAAACCTAGTCTCATGTTTGAAGAAGAATATAGAATACTTCACTGGTGTTAATTGTTCCCAGATAACATGGCGATCTATTGCTCTGCAAATAAAGAGCACTCTAGAAGACTTAACTGGGAAATCCATCTCTCAATGTAAGTTAAAAACTTGAAACTCTTTTTACTGAGAGCAACTTAAAAGAAACCTTCATTTCTAATAGAAAACTATAAATTAGTAGTTGATTTCCAAAGCAAGTTAAAAGAGGAAACAAATTTATTTTAGTAAAATGAAAATTCGATTTTTCTTCTTCAAAGTTTTACAAAGATCATCTTGTAATTGAAAAGAAAGTAAATAGATGAAGAGATAGTATAATGGGGGATAAATAAAAGTCAAGAAAATTTAACAATATCCTTATATCTTAGAACTTTTATTTAAACTTTGTATAAGATACAACAAAAATGAGTATCACAGTAATTATAATGCGAACTATGTATATACAGAAAGATAAATCCATTTTTTTTTAAAAGGGACATTCTATCACAAGAAATCAGGACTGTGCTGATAAAAAGTAAATATTGTAGAACAATTTTTCAAAGATATAATTGTAATTTTTTGTTTTGCAGGCATTCTCTCACATTGTCGACATCCCAGATTGATAAATAGTTATTTTAGTCTCATGAGCTTTGCCACCCCTTGTTCCAACAAAACAACCATTGAAACAACAGGTCTACATGTATCAACACTTTGTCGGTATTTATTCACAATGTATCTTGATATGACAAACTTAAAATGTCAAAATGAATAAAGCAAGTCTTATTGTCTTATTTCATTATTTAATTGGAGTTTTTCTAACTAAATATTAAATGAAACCGCATTAAAAATTCGAACTAATGTTACTGTAATTATAAATTAAGTTGTTTTTAAATACTAGTGGTGTTTTCTTTTTGCTTTGAGAATTTTTTGTTTTAAATGAATTAGATTGAATGTATGAACAATAAATATTAATACATAATTATCATTAAAAAATATATATCAAATTTGCAATGAATCCGCCTGAATATGGCAATATTTAATGACGTCTTCGCCTTTCATTTCAATTTAGAATGTATCAGCGGATTGGGCATTGTGTTGTATCAAACATGCAAGACAGAGACAAAACGAACTCTACTTGTCTCGTCAAAGATAAATTAATCATGTACAACAGGTTTATATCTCTTACTCCTCCGGCACTCTTGAAAAGAAATGTTAGTTTTTGTAAGTATTCTTCGAGACAATGTCAATTTCCCCCAAGAAATCCCATAAACTTGAAACGAAAGACAACGAGGTGTCTTGCACATGGGCTTCATATTTATGTATTAAACATTTTGTTTTGAATATATGAGAAATTCGATGTCACAATTTCTTTTGCCCTTTAACCTTATTTATGAATTAAAAAAAACATTTTCAGTTGCCTATGAGGTATTGTTTCAGGTTATATAAATACCAAGATCCTATTTTTCGTAAGATAATTTTCTAAAGCGAGATTGAACTCAGACACACAGGTTCATGCTATGAAGGTTTTTACAATTTCATTTTAAGTCAACCTTTTGATTAGACTAGGGTTGATACCCTGCATTCTGGCCCTAGAAAAAAATGGCAAACCTCTTACATACAATTTGCTAAGCCCTTTTTTTAAACTGAATTGACTACAGTACATTCTATCGTGATAAAAACAGACTGCAATATTTTTTGTCGACTGTTATATTTGCTACATCATGTTCTCAGACATTCATGTTTGCTCTGTGAATATTGTCTTGTTTCAATAGTCTATTTTTTATGTTTTCGGATTGTTTAATTCACCATTAAATGCTAATCAGTTCTCTCTTACTTTTTTCAGGTTTCAAATATTTTAATTCTGAATTCTCTGCTCCGCTGGATTATATAACAGGTAAAACATTGATCTTTCCTTCATGAATATATATAATATGGTTGTCATGTCAGAAATAGAAACACAAATGAATTAAACCTATATTACATTGCTTCGAGGGCAGCATACCAGAATATTTGCCCCAAGATAAAGAATATTTGCCCCAAGATGACAGAAAAGCCCCGGAGTGTTATGTCGGCCTCTGCCTTCGGCATCGGGCGACATAACACTCCAGGGCTTTCCTGTCACCTTGGGGCAAATATTCTGGTAATTCTGCCCTAAAATTAAGCCATGTTTTATATGGTATATAACATTTTTAAGCATTGAACCCGAATCGAACTTAAAACATATTTATTGAATACTATGTATACATGTATGTTGAGTATACTTCAGAAATATCCCGTCATGTTTCATGGCAGAATGTTTTCAGTATGCTGACACTTGTGTTCATAACCTTTGTTTTATCTAAAGAATTTTTCTTCGTAATTGAATTATATAATTACTCTGAATTCAAATAACAAAATGACAGACATTGTCTCGCTTTTTTAATTTTAGCGGAACTGTTTACGGTTGCTTACCAACTGTCTCTGTAAATTTCGAACCCGACGTATTTATAATGCAGAACGCAGACTTTGCGTGTACTGTTACTAAAAATAATTTAAAATAGTCTTTAGACGGAAAATGAATTAAAACCATGAAAATTATTTTAGACTCAATGTCATATTAGGCATATTAAAAGATCGGGATTCTGAAAGTCTATAACCAATTTAAAATTAAATAAAAGCAATCTAACCGCTTACCAGAAATAAAATCAACTTCTTAAATTAATTTAAATACGAAATGAAATCGATTAATACTATAAATTGATTCAGTGAAATACAGCAAATTTCAAATGATTAGAATATTAGAATTATTTCACCCTTTTTTACGATCAATGAAATTGCTTCCTAGAATTAATTCTGTCTTTAACACGATGAAAACCCCGGTGACCCGAAATAAAAACCCGATGATCCGAAAGTTCATGTTCCATAAGTGTAGCATTTCTTTAAAAAGTTTATAAAATGACTTATTTACATAAACATTATGGAAGCACCGTACAAATGAAATAAATCAGCGGTTTGAGTTTAGGGATTTTTTAAAATCCATAAATTGTACAATTATTTAATTTATTTAGAATAAAATCTTTAATGATTGTAGTTTACATAAGGTATAAAAAGAATCCTGAAAATAAATACTATTTGACACAGTGTGAGAGAACAGTTCAGGTATGTTAAACAATAAAATGCTTTCTTTGTTTGTTATAACTGGAATTAACGGAAGCAGCTGTTACAGAAAAAATATATGACCTGCGTAAGCGGGTTATGTAAATTTTTTCTGCAATAGCTGCCACCGTTAATTCCAGTAATAAAAAAACAAAGAAAGACATTTTATTGTTTATATTTATATCTGTTTAAATAATCATTTGAAGTAGGATAAAAAAGATTAATTATTGTATTAATGATGCGAACGTCTTTATACGTTTCATTGATGGAACAGCCACTGATGAAGAAATCCGTACAAATGCCTAATGCAGTTCATGCAGTGATTAACGCAATGGGTTTTCTTAAGTAATAAAGGAGAAAATATTCAGTGGATGTAAATATTTCACAGTAAAAACACACGGGCCGGGGTGTCATTTAGGTGAATAGGGAGAGGGGGGTTGACTTAACAGGAAGGCAGTGTGCGACGTTGAGATTTACACATACGTGTCAGTTTTCTGGCAAGGAAAGCTCTTCAATTTGACATTCAAATGCATTATATGTTCAGTTTATTTCATTTAGACATATTAAGGATTTGAATAATTATAAAGTGATAGAAATAAATTTAAAAATTGAGCCTATACGGACTCAACGGTGTTAAAAATATCTGGATCAATGTCTTAAAGGCTTTATTATTATTTTTTTTAATATCAAGATTTCAAATAATTGTGCATACATGCAGATCAGGGGGAAAACACATTTCTAATTTCATCAGACGATTAATCGGGAAAGATGAATATTGCACTTTAAAAAGATGCAAAATTATATCAATACCCTGCTCTTATTAATATTTAATTTTGATCAAAAACTCAATTCCATGAATTAAAAAAAAGGGAGATCGATTATTTCATTTTCAAAAGTAGATTTTTAATTTTGATAATCACTCTCTGCTTGACCATGATATAATTATTTTCTTTTTTTTTTATTATTGATTTATTCATTATATTATTTATTTATTCTTTTCCTTCCACCCTTTAATATTTCTTTTAATGATGAAAAACTAAGGAATAAAACTTTCTTATCTCTTTCTCGCGTAAAATAATCTTATTTAAGTTAACAAAACGAAAAAAAACTCGGATTTCCTAGGTAGATTCTTCCTAAAGTAAAGATTAAAAGCGAGGGTTTCCGAATATACACGGTAAACTCAAAACACGATACACGATAGAAAATGATAAACGATCTACACGATAAACGCAAAACATGATAAACGGAAACACGATACGATCGGATAAGATATGATACACGCACGATAGGACACGATAAATTTGTAAAGAATAACGTTGCGGGTACTGTTATGGGAAAAACTTCTTCAAAAATGTTATATAAGACAATATTCCATGGATAATAGCTTCCATTGTATCTTTACGAGAAGCACACAATGGACGGTTTACTTGACATAATAACCTGCATCATGTATAGTGTTACAGGTTCAATAAAAGAAAAGAAAACCTTACTAGTGGTCCTACTTAGTCCCCATAATGTCGTTAATGTAATATCTTAAGACCAGGAATTGAGAGTAGAGTGATTTTCGTTTCTTTATTGACAAACTGATTTACGCTTTGAAATAAGCCCATATTGTGGTTGGATTAAATGTTGAGCTTAATATTTACATCGTATAAGAGCTTTCGTACATTGTTCTAGTGTAAAAGTAAGTCGCCAACTGTTAAAGGCATCTCTTCTCACAAAAGTCCACTACCAATCCTCATTAATTGTGGGAAATGTTCGATTTTGACATTTATGTTAAAGATGTACAAGGTGTCTGCTGTAGAACACTCGAAAAATAAATAATTCCCTTCAAAAATATTGAGATAGCAAAATATATTTTAAAAATCGATTTGAAACAAAAAGGTCATGAATAATTTTTAAAGGAAGAAATTTATTATATAAACAAAAGGCTACATGTTTGATATGTTTGTAATCTACATGATATACATTTATGATATAATTGAGAATTTATAATGAAAGACTTTAGCTTTGTGCTTTGATTCCATAGAAGCAGATATCTGATATATTGCACATATGCAAGAGGCTTTAGTCTTTAAGTACAATTAAAGCCAAGTATTAAGGTCATAGTCATTGAAATAGTCATATATTAAATCTTGAATAACGTTTATTTTCCCCCGAGATTTTGACAGGACAATGTCAATTCTTCTATTCTTCTATTGTGGTTTTGTATCAACGGTCCCTGCAGGTAACAACATTGTCTTTGTTTGTTAGGCTCTTCATATAAAATGGAGTCTTATTGAAAGAACATGGATTTTATTCTACAAGTGGTAACCCAACTTATACCCAGAGTTCAATTTCTAATAAAGAAAGTCTTCAAAATCATATGTCAGATTTGAATATTTTTATTATCCCAAACAACCAAAATCAATTTGAGTCTTAATATATAGATTGGATACCGAAACTTTATAAGTATCCTTGAAAACAAATATGCATAACAGGTTCCAGTAAATGTGTAATCAAGCCTCTTTCTTTACTCCTCATTAAGATATTAACGGTAGTGACAGAGAATTTCAAGAGTATTGTCCAACAATGTATGAAAATTGTGGTTTAAATCAGACGTGAATATTTAGTAATTCGAAGGAGCTTTTGAGCAATTTGAAATCAAGTTTTTACCAAAATCAACAACTTCAAAACTTGTGACTTTAAACTTTATGCACGTCAAGCATTCCCTAAGATATATTAAAGTCCAGGATTTTTTTGTATCATTAACGCTGCTTTTTCAATGAAAATGAACTCGTAAATTTACTACTTTGTCATAAGTTATTTGTAATTTAAGAGGGGGCGGGGGTGGGGATTAAAGATTTTGATTGTACAACCAAGTACTCTAAAGTTGACAACAAAAGATGCTCGTGTTTCTGATCTATACTATTTATGTGCTTTTGAAAACTCGGTCTTACAACAACTTTTTGAATTCTCATGCCATTGGGTACCTAGAACGTCCCGTTATTAGCAGACCTATATTTATATTAATATTCGTACTCATGAAGCAGAATTTTTCTAAAATCTATACGAGAAAAGAAGAAAACAAATTTTATATGACCTTGTCAGTAAATACATGTACAAATTTATCATTGAGTAAAATACTGACTGAAGTTTTTCATTCTATTTGTTAGTTCATTATTTACACACTGAATTTACGTTGGATGTATATGTTATTACCCGATCATGACAAGTAACAAAATAATTGAATTGTTTTTGAAAGTGTTCGCATGTAAACCATGCTCTTGCGTATGCATTAATCTGGGAGACTTAAAATTTATTTACTCAATAAAAGATTGATTGATTATTTGTAGTTTAACGTCCCGCTCGAAAATTTTTCACTCATATAGAGACGCCACCATTTGCCGGTCGTGAGCTGCAAATTTTAGTCCTTTACTCGGCACTCAAAGCCATTGAGCAGAGAGGGGTCTCTTTCATGCCAGCACCTACTGCGAAACGGGACCTCGGTTTACACCGTCTTTTCCAAAGGACCGGTCTCCACGTCCCACAGTGGGATTCGAACCCGCGACGTATGGAATGACTCCATACTTCGCGACTCTAGAGCAGACGCCCTAACCACTGCACCATGTGGGCGACCACAATAATAGAATTTTTCTACATAAGTAAGGGAAGATAATGAATATTTGTTAGCAATAAAACAATGAACATTTTTCCCCTTTTATAAACAGCATTAAATAAATTTGTTATATAAGTATACTCAACAAAAAAGAAAGAAATATTCACATTAAACATGATTATTGAAGTTTTCAGATAAAATCTTAATTTTCAAAATTTATTTTAGAGTGTGTTGTGATAAAAAAAATGTCCTTTGTTCGAAATTGACAAGTTAAGTTGATGTCATTAACGTCGCCTCCAAATTCTAATGGGATACTTTTTAACTGATTCATATGTCATTTGCGACCTATCAGCGCTAGTGGATTTCTAATGTACACACGTCGTGTGCGAATACCAGCTCCTCTCATTCCCTTGCGAACAATTTGTGCACGTTAGAGCAATTTGAACATCAGTTCTGCGTCGATTGTACAGGTGCTGAAACAGGATCTGACGATCCTGTCCGGATGTGGTATCCCATGGATGGACAGTTCCTGGTCTGTCATCCGTGTTATTGGTGGAGACGTGCGTTTAAGTGCTGCAAAGCCGATTGATGTACATCAAATGCTTTTGCAACTTCCAGTTGCGTAGATCCAGTTAATATCATTGTTAGAGCCTTTTTACGTTCATCTTTGTTTAGGCGTGGCATTGTAGCATCAACATTGTAATCGAAGCAAGATCAACGAGACTTTTTATTATCATAGTTTAAATTATTGTGCCTCTGTCGTTCAACTTTTATTCTAATTGATATAATTCATTGGAAGTCGTTGGAAGTACATGTAGTAAGAATTGCCAATAAAAGATGAGGCAACTACTGCAAAATCACATATCTTTGTGGGATCACATTTTCGACGATTGAGGAAAAATGTGAGTTCGTGGCCCTTTCATTTCGTGGATAAGAAAAATAAAGTTTTACATTAGAAATTTTACAGAAATTTGCGGATCTCTTTATACATTGAAAACAGCGAAAAAATATACACGCACAAAAATCTGTGGTTTTGCAGTAATAATTTCTTCACTGTATAAAATGTTTGAAACATAAATTTTAGAGGGAAAAGTGTTGTCCATTTATATTTGTTCCTGTTCAACTTGCACATATAATACATATATTTTAGAAACTTTTTTACAAAGTTTATAAGTGTGATTTTACACAAAAGCAGCAACATAAGACGACAGTCTCTTTTCTCTAAAACCCCAAAAATATTTTTATTTAGATACTACACTGTCTGCAGAAAGTATAGAAACAAACACCGACTTTTCCCAAACAGCAATCTTTCGTAAGCTGACACTGATTAATCTATATTATCATTTTAACATAAAGCTTTGAGGCTACGAGTCTAAAAAGAAAATTATTTTCTTTCAAATTTATCAATTGAAAACAAAATACTTTTTATTCTTTTTTAGGTTTTATTTATATTTATTAGGTTTGATTACTCGCATTGAAATGTTCTAATTATATCTATGGTAATATCATGTCAAAGATTTGATTGATTTTGTCGTTTAAAGCATTTTTTGCTGTGAACATATTTCAGAAAGAGAAATGGAAACATAAAGCTTTAAACAAATAAAGAAAGATTAGTGTATTTTTCACAAAGCAATGTAAAAAATTCAATAGACATCACATTAATTACACGTAATCATGTACTTACAATTCATGTATGTTGTAGTTGCAGTGGGATTCGCGGTTGTACTAATATTTGCCGCCAGTTTTGCAATCAGTGTATACAAAATAAGGTCTGTGTTCTTAAATATCATTTCAAATGAGATTCAATCTAAAATTTAAATACAAGTTAAAATGAGTACATTTTAATCTTATAGAATATATTATAAAACCTTTACTCTTCCATAAGGACATTGGCAATGTTGCTGGGTTAAATATAGATTTTTTTTAGAAGTTTTGAACAAATTTAAAGGTACAAAACATGTATAGTTCTGCCAAAGTTAACCTACCAAGCCAGTTTTCCTTTTTGTCGAATTAATGTTTTCACAATTATTCCTAATGCATTTCTTGTGTATAATCTTTATAAAAAGGATCTACATTATTTTAGCCATGCAATGTCTCTACAACCCATTTATTTCATAGACGTTTTTAATGAATTACATTATTTTATTCTTTTTTCCGATGACATGTATATATTTTGGCTAAAAATGCAAATAAAGAAAGAGAAATTTCGTCATTGTTCTTTAATTTTATGTTACTTTCCTTAACATCTAATTATTATTTATAATGATTGAGAGTTTCTTTCTTGTAATTTACGTTATTGAAAACAAATTGTCTAAAATGCCTTTTGCATGGATTTTTTTTATAACTTTAATTTGTAATTACTATACTGTGCCTCCTTCACATGACTTATATAGAACATCCGATAACCTAGCTGTCACCACTTTCAACATGTTCATTATACGTCACATCTTTGCATTTCCAGCATAACATGGTAAATGACGACCTGGTGACTGTCTGCCCCTTTAGTTTACACAAAGTACAACTAAGCCAACACTATCTTTCTTGTTGTATTTCTTTATTCAATTCGTAAAAGCAAACAAATGTGCTTTTGTTTACCTCTGTAACATTCGCTTTATTTATTTCCTCCACTCCTAGATAATTCCAAACGGACGATCACTCTCAATGACTGTTTTTATAAATAAAAAATCTTTATATTAAACATTTTTTCTCAGGAAACTCTGCCTTGCCAATTACCTTAATTTTCTGGACTACAATTATAATATCAATTAAAGGTTTTTTTTTAATCACAAGCTTCACTCTCTAAAGAACTGATCTGAGAAAATTTTTCAGTTGCCTGTCGTCGTTGTTGTTGCAAACCTTTTTTCTCATTTTATTATCCCAAATCCACTTGAAAAATTTAAAGAAATTTGGCATAATGCTTTTTATGAAGAGTATTCAAATCTATTGACATAAAGCGCAAAACTCACTTTTAACGGATTTTAATTAAAAATTACTGAAAAATTACTGCCATCTCGTAAAAATCCTTTCCCTAAGAACCAATGAGACAGAAAACGTAGTACATAGAATTGATATATTTATGAAATATTGACTCTAATGTATACTTATTTTCCTTAATTCAGAAACTCTATTTACATGAAGATTTCTTTTCCAAACTCATATAGAAAAATAACAATGAGAAAAAGACGAAAAGAATTGATGCGCCTTCCTAGTATTCCAAGGGACTCTCCAAGCGAAACGAGGTTGACCAATGCAGAGAGTCCCTATTCCGATTCCAACTATGAAACAATAGAGGAACCAGACAAGCGTTGCGAACCTTTACGCGGAGAAGGAGAAAATACTTTATTTCTAACAGACGAAGATGGACAATATTTAGAGCCTAACAATGCAGACGGAACACATTCAGATATAGTGCACAGCGTAAATGGACCTAATGATTTCATTAACGTTTCTCCTGACATTGATTTATTAGATGATACGATTAACGATTCTCTTAAATCGGAGGCTGTGGACATTTTACAATCCGATAATACTGCTGCAATGAACGTAAAAATAGATGTGGAAAAAAATGAAGAGGTAAACGAAGATTTACCACCACGAGTGCAAGGATTTTGAAAAGCGAAAGTTTTTGTAAATCTCAGAATTTCTAAATCAAAAATTACAAAGAATAAGAGCATCATTCATCTTTTTAGATAATAAGGTTCATATCCAGATCGCATGAGATGATGAAAAGATAGAATGTTTGTTTCGTACTTATGTAGAGATGTTGTCTAGGAAAAGAGTACCAACCTATAAGATCATATCGGAAAACTTACCGAATCAATATTGTATATGCATTGCCAGTTCTTTTTAAACATAATTTTAGTTTGTGGTATGATACATTATCATTAATCATAATACAAAATAATACATCTGTACTCATATGATAGAAAGTAAACAATTTTATGTTATTTCAAATTTACTTGCATGAATAAGTTATTTCTTATTTTAAGAGATATGTCATTTTTTCAACATTTTCAATATAATAAATAAATGTCACCAGAGTGTATAATACTCAATTAAACAATGTAAAGCATTTTAATCGAAACATTTAAGAGATGTGATTTTCAAGTTAATGTATAATGAGTGTATTATGTGTATGTGGCAAAAGCATGATTACATTATACGTTATACATTATACGGCTGAAGGGTACATAATCAAACCATAAAACTAGATACTGTGATATCATGAATTTTCGTGGTTTGATTTTCTTGGTTTGGTACGATCCAATCTATTTAGTTTCCTCTCACCACAAAAATTTTTCCAATCAAAAATATGTTATTTTAGAGTATTCCGTAAAAAATGATTAGCAAAAAAGGACAAACAATTTTCTAACTGAAAAATACCGCACAGTGATCAAAAATTGCATTGAATGTTTAACAAAACAAGTCCCGGATAAGTAATTCCTTTGCAGTTTTAATAACGAAAATCTTTTTAAGCGTTTAGGAAAAAACTGAATTATTTAGGAAAATTATTTCATTATAATTGCAATGATATTGAGGGATATTGTAAAATATCTATACAAATAACCAAACAAAGAGTATATACTTTAAAAACAAGAATATTTGGCGCAAGAGCCCCTGAACGCTAAAATTTATCGTGCGCTAACCAACTTCTAAATATCATTTTTGTGCGTGTTCAAAGCTTTCGCATAAGTACATGTCAGCCGGTACGCACCATTACGTTTTGTCGAAGGGTCGTTGGATTTTACATTCACACTAGCTAGCACTATACATGGTAGGGTCGATCGATAAAGTTCTGCCAAATTATAATTTAATGAAACTATTGGTAGTTGTTACCCGATACTTATCATTAGCACCTTCAAAGTTTGGTTTCTCGGGGTGTCAAACAATCGCCTCGAGGTAAACAATGCAAACAAGGAAGGATATTGGGCTTGCAGAAAAAACCTTATTATGATTACTGGTTATCCAAGTAACTTTCGTTCGATGCATGCATTGTTTTAATATGAATGAAATGCGTAAATTCTCCATTTCTTTTATACAAAGAGAAATATATTTAAATATTTCCATTTCCAATTTTTTACCGTGGTGATGCAATCACATGGACGTGGCACAATGTTAAATTAATTAAGGAATCACTGTCTTGTTTGGAGAGTATGCCAGGGCATCAACAATAGTGGGAAACATTGTGCGAGGATTGTGCGAGGACTATTGAATTGGAATAGAAGTCCTCGTGTAATTTAAATCTATTAGTCTACATTTTTTATGTCAAAGTCTACAATTTTATTTCACAATGAAATTTAACTATAAGGAATTACTGTCTAGTTAGCTTTGCCCGTTATGCAAATTATCCAATTGATCGGTAAAGTTGACGAATGTTTTCTTATATACGGGAGTGCTATTGTGTTTCTGTGCTTGGCTACATGTAACCAAAAAGTCAAATACGGGCGTGGATAAAAGAAAGAATATCACATTCTTAGATTTTAATGACAAGTGCAAGCGCTAAAATTTATTCGCATTCCCACTTGGGTTTGCGCTAAAATACGTATGCGCCAAAATTTCTCGTTTAACAGTATATAAACAAAAATATACTGCAATTTGTTTAGTTGCTCTTCGATTTAGCAAAAAGACAACTTGAAAATGAAATTTCTTATGGAAACTCTTTCTATGTTCTTATTCAGTATTGCACAATAAGCACAACAAAGATTTCTAATACAAACAGTCTTGTTCGAGTAATAAATCAAAACCAGTAGAATATTATATTTTTACTTTAGGCAATAATTCTTTATACTTAAATGCTTTGAAAAAAAAAACATCGTAGCTATTATCCAGGGAACACTGTGGTGTCTGTATCATACTTTGTATTCATGGTGAAAGGGTGTTGCTTTCCGGTTCTTTCACAGGAGAATTGCACTTGGTTGAGTCATCAAATGCCTGAGAAACAATTTGATAAAACAATTCATTGAATCAAAACAAGTTCAGCCATTTAACACCTTTATTTCCTTGCAAGGAAGTTGGAGAGGTTTTACATAGTAACTTAATCGTGTAGGCTCGTTTGTGGGTGAGTTAGCTGTTAAATAGGATGTGACATAATTTGTATCGTTATTGATATCGAATGCTATTTGATTTATAGATATGTGCCTTGCAAGGGTATACCGGTACTCCGCTTTGTAGTGCCGTTGTTAGTCTTTAGTTCTAGTGTTTCTATAATCAATAATGCTTTGAGGCATGGTAGCGAAAAGTAAGACACCATCTGGCTTGAAAAATGGAAAAAATACCAGAAGACATCTATAGTTTTCGTTTATATTTTATTTTGCAAATGCAGATACAGCTTCATCTTCGCTAGCCAAGGGTTTCCGATCCGAAATCTACTCTATAACCCTTTGGCAGATTTTGTCCTATCAAAAGGGAACTTTTATTGCGCCGCCTATCGTTGCAATTGAGTTAAGTCCCTTGAAGCTCTTTCATATTTATCCAACGAAAATAGCCGTAACAGACGTGGATCATTATGAGGTTTGAAACAAAATGGCGACATCCATGCAATGTGATGTGGAATATAACCCATCACCTCATGCAGCTGTTGGCACACCTTAAAAGTGTTAGAAAATATCGTTCTTTGTGTTTTTTTTGTCAATAGTTTGACAATACTTTCTACATGTTGCTGTATCAATTATAATCAATGAGCCGTGACATTTGATTGGCTTAAATTGATGAACCTAAAATGCAGAACACTGACTTATGTGGTCCATCAATAATTCTTGAAAAACATATAATCAAAAGAATTTTTTTAACTTAATTACTCCCTTGTTTTTTTAGCATCTATCACGTTCTAACTTTCATCCCTTGTACATATTACTCTTCATTTGCATAAAACATAAAAAACATAAAAATCGTTGATTAGTAAAATCCTTGCGTAGACTTGGACTTCGCAGCATATCAAATTCGTTTGCGCGAGTTCTAAAATTTTCAGCCAAATATGCCAAGGGTTGTGGAGTAGATTTCGGATCGGAAACCCTTGGCTAGCTATGATGATACAGCTTTAACTGTGCATAGATTCTTATGATAGATTCGATTTCCCATATTTTGCAATTTAATTTTTTTTTCACTTATTGTTACTAAATAAAGTACTTTTAAAGAAAGATTTAACTTTGTAATTAAAAAAAAAATTGTATAAAATTTCAAAATTTCTAAGTCAAATAAATCAAATTTCTTAAAGATAATTGTGACAAATTCTGAGTATGTTGTCAAGACTCTTTACCTTTCTGTCACAATCTTGACCAAGCCATTCTTGTCTCAGCCAATCAATGCCATCGGAACATCTACCAACCATTGGACACCATTTACAATCAAACGAATCGTCTTGAGTTAAACAAGTTGCACAATCCTTGGCAATATTACAGGCTGTAAGCAAGTTTGAATACATGAAAGCTTAGAAGCGATTTCGTTTGAATATGAAACAATTTGATGTAAAACTAAAATGAAAATTATGAATTTGGATGCAGAATAGCAAAGAGGTTTTGCAAACAGTGTCATGGATTTTAACGGTGACATTAAGGTTTTATCAGACAAAAAGAAGTTTTCTTCATAGCTGTGTTTCATTATACTGTACATAGGGTTATTTTCGCGCCATGTTATTTTCACCCTCTTGCATTCGGAAACAAGTTTGCCCCGTTTTAAATTCGCCCAGAAAGATATTTGTTTAAGATATTATACAGTTTACTTTGAATTCGCCCCGTTTTAAATTCGCCCACTTCCGACGAGGGCGAAAATTAAACGGGGGCAAAACTTTCCCTGTATACAGTATATGATAAGGGTCCCAGTATGCTCAATAATTATATAATTTTGAGTTAAATGTTGATTGAACAGATATTTAAAACGGACATTTTGAAGAAAACTTACTCTTCAATGGGTCCAAAATGACGACTGTCCCTGAACGAACTAACTTAAAGTTGATATCCAAGCGGTCATATTCATATAAGGTTCTTCTTTTTACACCTGCAAAAATTACTTTTGTCATACCTTAAATTTTTTTTCCTATTGTTATGGGTCAGAATTACCCGAAATGCCAGCAAAGATCAATAACACAATTTAAACTTAACAATAATTTATTTACAGTAATATATAATAAATATATCAAACATAAAGTACAAACTTAGCAAGAATCTAAAAATACATACATCAGAGTGTCCGTTGCTGCACACAATGTCCCAGTGAAAATATATCCCAGTTATATCTCATTAGTGCTTATACGACAAAAGTCTTCACAATTATTGTATGCATCGAATTGACAGGGTATTTATACAGTATTATTAATCTAGAATATTCTAGAAATTGTTAAAACATGATATTACTGGAACGACCTGGACATACACAAAATTTAAGAATGTTCTAGATAAAATGACCGAACATGTTGACCACTCTGGAACGTTCAAGAAACTTAATGTTACTAATTATAAACATAATGAAACAATACACATCTCACAACACCTCCCCCCTTAAAAAGTTTGAATGTCAATGAAAACTTATATTATTAAAATAAAATTTATGTAAATTAATACAAAATCTAGTATGTTTACGATACTCTTGACAAGGCGTCTGCAATAACATTGTCTTTGCCTTTGATATGCTTAATTGTTATGTTGTATTCTTGTAACAACAAACTCCATCTAGTCAGTCTTTGATTCTTGTTTGACAATTTATGCAAAAATGTCAGGGGGTTGTGATCCGTATATACAAGAATTGGATGCAAAGTAACATTCAAATAAACATCAAAATGCTGTAAAGCTAACAACAAAGCAAGGCATTCTTTTTCAATAATAGAATAATTTCGTTGACATTTTGTAAGTTTCTTCGAAAAATAAGAAACAACTCTATCTACATTATCACTATGTTCTTGAAACAAAGCTGCCCCGATTCCAACATCACTAGCGTCAACAGTAAGCTTAAGTTGCTTAGAAAAATCTGGAGTTGACAGAACTGGGTTGCTCATCAGGATAGATTTGATTTTATGAAAGGATTTTTCACAGTCCTTTGTCCATTCAAAGTTAACCCTCTTTTGTAAAAGATTTGTAAGTGGACTAACTACTGAGGAAAAATTTGGACAAAATTTTCTGTAAAACCCAGCCATGCCCAAAAACCTCATTAATTCTTTCTTGTTTGTAGGAATCGGGAACTTTGCAATAGCTTCCACTTTAGCCATTATGGGTGTAACATAACCTTGACCTACTTTATGACCTAAATACTCTACATAAGCATGACAAAATTCACTCTTTTCAAGGTTCACAGTTAAATTTGCTTTAGCTAAAATGTCAAATAAAGCACGCATGATTCGGAGATGTTCATCCCATGTGTTGCTGTATATGACGACATCATCAATGTAGGCCTCGCATCCCTCAAGATCATGGAGAAGGGAGTGAATCATCCTTTGGAATGTAGCCGGTGCGTTTTTCATGCCAAAAGGCATTACTTTATACTGGTAAAGTCCATCTGGTGTAGCAAAAGCAGATATTTCTTTTGCTCTTTCTGTTAACGGTACTTGCCAGTAGCCTTTCAACAGGTCAAATTTACTGACAAATTTCGCATTTCCAATGTTGTCAATACAGTCATCGATTCTAGGTATTGGATATGAATCAGTTTTGGTAACAGAATTCACCTTTCTAAAGTCTGTACATAATCGGTAAGAACCGTCTTGTTTTGGTACAAGAATACACGGTGAGCTCCAATCACTTTTACTAGGTTCAACAATGTCATTGTCCAACATGTACTGCACTTCCCTTCTTAGGTACTGCAATTTTATTGGATTCAGACGGTACGGATGTTGTTTGATAGGCAGAGCGTCGCCAACTATAACATCATGACAAGCTGCATTAGTTTTCTTTGGAACATCCGAGAAGATTTGATGATACTCAATCATCAAGTTTTTAACTTGTTCTTTTTGGTGAATGTTCAAATGTCCAAGTTTAGTCTCCAAATTAGCCAAAACTTCTGAGTTTTTCAAACGAACACTCTGATTACAATCTTTCTCATTCATTTCTACACTCGTATCACTTTCAATACAATTTTGAACAGTCTTAGCATTGGCTAAAGTGGAAACTGGTTTTACAGAATTTCGGTCACACCTTTCAAAATACTCTTTTAACATGTTAATGTGACAAACCCGTTTCTCTTTACGTCGACCTGGTGTCTTAACTACATAGTTTACATCACTGATCTTGCTTTCAATTTCATAAGGCCATAAAATCTGGCCTGTAATGGATGACCAGGAATAGGTAAAAATACAAGAACCTTATCACCTGGCTTAAACACCCTATTTCTGGCATCTTTGTCATACCACATTTTCATCTGAGAATTCTTCAAATTTTCTTGTGCTAATTTACAAGCTTTGTAAAGTTTTTCTTTGAAATCAGACACATAATCTAAAAGATTAAGATCACTAGTCTCAGTCAGCCACTTTTCCTTCAACAATTTCAAAGGACCTCTAACTGTATGTCCGAACACCAATTCAAAAGGACTGAACCCAAGAGACTCCTGGACTGCTTCTCGTGCAGCAAATAGCACAAGATGAACCCCTTCGTCCCAGTCTTTTTCATATTGGTAACAATGGGTCTTCAGCATTGTTTTTAGGGTTTGATGAAAACGTTCTAGCGCTCCCTGGGACTCAGGATGATAAGCAGTTGATCTATATTGCCTTATACCCAACTCATGCATGACTTGCTGGAACAACCCCGACATAAAATTTGAGCCTTGATCCGACTGAATTGCCTTGGGTGCTCCTACAAAACTGAAAAACTTGGTTAGGGCCTTAACTATGCTCTTTGCCTTTATATTCCTTAGAGGTATGGCTTCAGGAAATCGAGTGGATGTACACATAATGGTAAGTAAATACTGGTTTCCAGATCTGGTCCTAGGCAAAGGTCCTACACAATCCACTAATACTCGACTAAACGGTTCTTCAAAAGCTGGAATGGGTTGGAGAGGAGCAGATGGTATCTTCTGATTTGGTTTACCTACCATCTGACAGACATGGCATGACTTGCAAAACTTCGAAACATCCTTTCTTAGCTTAGGCCAATAAAAATGACTCAAAATCCTATTATAAGTCTTATTGATACCTAAATGACCAGCCATAGGTGTATCGTGAGCTAAACTCATGACATCTCGACGATAAGCAGCTGGGACCACTATCTGGTGAACAACACGCCACACTTCATCTGGAGAAGCATCAGGTGGTCGCCATTTTCGCATAAGGATGCCATCTTTCATATAGAAGCATTCTCCAACTTTAGTAGCCTCTTCTGGTGGAAGTGCCCTCTTACTAAGTTGAATGATATCTGGGTCTTTATGTTGTTCAGAGAGTAAACGTTCTCGGCTGAGGATGTCCTTGCCTTTGCTAACTAGTGGATGCAACTCATCATCCTCACCACCAAATTTTGGTAACAGTTCTTTCTTCTCTTGCGTCTTGATATTGTGTGGTTCCATGTTTGTTTGAGTGCCATTAAGGTCAGATAAGAAAGTGTCATTCAAATCAATATCAACAGAGGAATTCGTCTCATCAAAGGCTTGAGTATGGTCTGCCTCCATTTCTCGTCTTCTGGCCATCGCTCTAGTAACAGCACAGGCTGGATAAATGTCATCATCTTCATCATTATACATGACATCTGGAGTGATCTTCTCACAAACTATAGGATCTGGTACAACTTTTCCACCAGCCAGATCGTTGCCTAACAACAAAGAAATGCCTGGAACGGGAAGAGTAGGTCGAACACCTACGATAACAGGTCCAGTAACTAAATCTGACTTCAAACTAATTCTATGCAGGGGAACATCAATGACGCCTAGCTCCACACCCTGTAATAAAACTGACCCACCAGTAGAAGTCTGCTCAGACAAAGGAAGCACGCCCTCTAACAATAACGTCTGTGCAGCACCAGTATCTCTCAAAATCTGGACAGGTTTTATTTCGCTAGAGTCACCGAGTGAAACAAATCCCTGAGACATAAAGGGCTTATAATCCTCCATAGAATCAATAGAACTGGACTGTGAACCCTGGACTTCAGGAGTGTCAGAACAAATCGAAACTAAGGCTTCTCTATCACCTCTAACTGCCGCACAAGCATGTGGTTGAGTTTTATCAAAATCATTTTTTCTCTTAAGTTTAAAGCATTCACTGATCAGATGACCCTTTTTCTTACAATAACTACAAGTAGGAAGCGACCCTATTCCAGACGATCCTTCAACACGTCCTGAACCGGACTTAAAACCACCTTGGGATGGAGACTGGGAACTTGTGAAAGACTGAGACCCTGAACCACTCTTTTTATATGTGTCTGAATTGGTAGAATTACTGCTAGTCTGAGATCTTGAAACAAAATTCTTTTTATGAGACAGAGCATAAGTATCAGATATGACTGCTGCCTCTTCAAGAGTTTTCACATTCTTATCTTCTAAATGTGTTTTCAAATCTTGAGGAACACATTCCTTAAACTCTTCTACCAGGATGACTTGGCGCAAATTAGCAAAAGTTTTATCAAGTTTCTTAGATCTAAACCAGTGATCGAATAAATCTTCTTTCTCTCGTGAAAATTCAACAAATGTTTGATTATCAAACTTTCTATACTTTCTGAACTTTTGTCTATACGCTTCAGGTACTAATTCATATGCTTTTAATATTGCTGCTTTGACCTTCTCATAGTCTGAACTCTCAACTACCCCTAGTGCAGAGTATACCTCAGCCGCTTTTCCAACCAGTACACTTTGTAACATTGTTGACCAAACATTTCGTGGCCATTTAAGATTCTCTGCTACCTTTTCGAATTGTGGAAAATATTTGTCTACAGATTTTTCTTGAAATTTTGGAACTAATCTGATATTTTTTGCTGCGTCAAATTCAGTTTTGACAACTGACGGTTCTGGTTGGTTCTGTAATTTTAATTTCTCTAATTCAAAGTTCATTTCACGCTCTCTTTCTCGCTCTTGTCTTTCTAATTTGTCTAATTCAAATTTTCGTTCACTCTCTCGTTCTTCTCTTTCTCTTTCTAATTTTTCTCTTTCAAATCGCATTTTCTCTAACTCTAATTGAAACTGATATTCTGCCATTTTATAAGAGCCTAACTCTGATTTAACTGTATATTCTGGAAGATCGTATTTTTCAAAGATGTTTTCTTCTACTAGTTTGTTTGCAACCTTAATTCTAATGTCTTGCTTTTTCTGAGAGGATTTAACATCTAACCCAAAATGCAAACCTAATGCGATCAAGTCATCCTTTTTTAACGTATCAAAAACCTGAACACTTCGTGAACTAAGAAAGTCTGTGACCGAAAACACCATGTTGATTTCTGCTGGCTTATAATTAAATTTAAGGTTCAATTATAAAAATTCTGATAATAAACTGCAAAAGTGCAAATAATTCTTGATCCCGGACGAGCCCCCAATTCTGTTATGGGTCAGAATTACCCGAAATGCCAGCAAAGATCAATAACACAATTTAAACTTAACAATAATTTATTTACAGTAATATATAATAAATATATCAAACATAAAGTACAAACTTAGCAAGAATCTAAAAATACATACATCAGAGTGTCCGTTGCTGCACACAATGTCCCAGTGAAAATATATCCCAGTTATATCTCAATAGTGCTTATACGACAAAAGTCTTCACAATTATTTTATATGCATCGAATTGACAGGGTATTTATACAGTATTATTAATCTAGAATATTCTAGAAATTGTTAAAACATGATATTACTGGAACGACCTGGACATACACAAAATTTAAGAATGTTCTAGATAAAATGACCGAACATGTTGACCACTCTGGAACGTTCAAGAAACTTAATGTTACTAATTATAAACATAATGAAACAATACACATCTCACAACACTATACAAACCTTTACGAAGAAAAGTCAAACATTCTTAATGTTTTGCTAAGCGGGCATAAAAAATTGATGTTGGACCGCTTTCGTCACAGAATGGGCGGAGCTTAATCTTATTTTCATTCGTTGGTGTTAAACAGCGACAGACCTGATGTGACATCACGGAATAGAGTAAACATACATGCATGTTTAAAAAATGAAATAAAATGAAAGGTATAACAAAACATTCATTAACATAGTTCTCGGTTGTTTTGTCAGACCCTCGAATCAAACTGTCTGCTTCTTGGGTCTGACAAAACGCATGTTGCCCTCGATCTCAGTCAATAAAATGTGTATATTATTGTTTTCTATACTACATTTTGCGAGAAAATAAGAGACGTTTTAAACTTTGTTCTAAATGATTTTTTTTATTTCTTAACCTGGTATGATCAAAATGTTTATGAAATAATAAACAATGGTATCATAAAAATGTTGATGAAATAATAAAACAATCTGTTTTTCAAAGTTTTCCGATCGGCAGCCCTGGAGTACTAATCCTGATAAGGAAAATCTTTTATTCTTTTAGACTGTTTGTTTTAACTTATTTGTTGTGGCTTATCTGTTATTATACCCCCGCTTGAAAATCGGGAGGGTATATATAGTAACCGTTATGTACGTCCATCCGTCCGTCCGTCTGTCTGTTACGCTTTGGGGTACCCATCTCTTATCCGCAACTCCTCTCATACCACTGAATGAAATTTGATGAAACTTTCACAGAATCTTTATTACATATTGCCATTGTGCACCTCCTATTTTACTTTTTGATCCGACACATATTTTGGGTTTCCCGGCGGCCACAGGAAAACATGGACTTTTTCACCAGTTATAAGCATATGGGAGGCGGGGGGTATCATTTAGTGAGCTCATCGCTCACAGTACCTGTAGTGCATAAAAATTTGAGAAGGCTAGTCCTATTTCCATTATATTTCCTAAATTCCATCCAAAATTTGATTATGTAGCGAAATGATATAAACTTACTATATGGGAATTTTTTCATTGATTTAAATTTCTCTTTATATTTGAACTACTAAATTTAAATGATGATTTTTTTTTATAAAAACTTGACATTTACCTAGACCAACCTACGCATATGATTATATGCAAGAATTTCTAAATGTTAAATCCGCGTATGATCATATACCAGCACTTCGAAATGTTGAATCCGACTCTAATGTTTTTATACCCCCCGCTTGAAAAGCGGGAGGGTATATAGTAATCGTTAATTCATTCCGTCCGTCCGTCTGTTACGCTTTGGGGTACACATCTCTTATCCGCAACTCCTCTTATACCACTGGATGAAAGAAGATTGATTTTATATTGTTTAACGCCGAGTCGGCAATTTTTCAGCCATATTTCGGCGGGGATGAAAGAAGAAGGTATGGTTTCCATACAAATTTTGTCCTGTGATTTTCTAAAAAATGAAACTGGTGTAAAAGTTGAAAACTCATGCTTTTTAAATAATTGAAATTCAATGCAGAAAAATCATACAAGTCATTTTTCTCACATGTGTTTTTAAATACTAATTATGACGTCATAAACATGTGCATTTTCCCGTATTTTCTTAAAAAGTTGCAGAAGACACCAATTTTCAATGGAATTTTCTTTCAGATAACATTGTCCACAGGCATCGCCCACAAAGATCTTGAGATATGTGATTTGTTATTGAATTTTGCACAAAATATCAAAAAATTAAAGTGGGCGACGGCTGTGGACACTGTTTTCTAAAGGAAAATCACCCTTGAAATGTGTCATTTTGAGGCTTTTTCTGCTGAAAATAGAGAAATGCTTCACATTAATGACGTCATATTTGCAGAATGGTAAACCTTCATGCCATATTCTTTCCTGATTTATCAGAGTCATTTATTTATCTAATATTTAAGCCAGTTTTAAAACTTTTTGATATCATTACATTTTTAGGGCGCAATAAAGCTAAAACCATACCTTTTTCTTTGATGAAACTTTCACAGAATCTTTATTACATATTGCCATTGTGCACCTCTTATTTTACTTTTTGATCCGACACATATTTTGGGTTTTTCCATAGCAAAACATGGACACTGCCATTTATACACATATGGGAGGCGGGGGGTATAATTTAGTGAGCCCTTGCTCACAGTACCTCTAGTTTATGACTAGGTTTATATGTTATTAAAGTGATGTGTTTTATCCTAGTTCAAGCAAATTTTTTTTTCTTAAAAACTTATACGTAGCCTGCATCTTACACACATTTTTGGGGGGATAGGAAAAAGTGTGTGTTAACAAATATATAATAACATGAAATAAAACAAATCATCATCAGAACTAACTAAAGCAGTAAATCAGTGTCGCTCCAAGGGAATTCCATACATATAGATAAGATGGTGAATAGTGAATTGAAAATGGCCGGTTAAGAGAAAAACTACATTCCTTTTTAAATTAAATTTAAAAAGATAAGTGTTCAGTGCTTGCTATTTGCCTTAAAGATATCAGTACATGTCCGAAAATTCAAAATGTCTATTACAAAGAGGCTGTTCAAATATTTTTAAACAGGTCGAGACCACTACATTTTCTGACTTCAGCATAAATTTGCGTGAAATTAGCAATCTGTTTACTTTACCTACTGCTGAATGAACCGCAATGCATTGTGGGCTTCTACAAGTACCCATCCGTGTTGAAAATAAAGGACAACTTGAATTGTTCCTTGGAAACTTATTTTCAAACTTTTTTTGAGATTTGTGAAAGAAATATTTTAAATGATGTATGATCTTTCATTTCTATGCTCACATTTACAAAATTTGCTTTATTAAACCTTATATCAACTTACAATACATCGGCCTAAAACATTGTTTAAAGAAACGTAGGTGCTATCGTGTCAATAAAACATTGAGTATTTTGCACGTGATATATGTGTACATAGTTTTAGTAGGTAGTATATATAGGTCCTTGGTTTTAGACAGCAGGAAAAGGTGTGCAATTATTATGTAACACCTGAATATTACAGAAAGTGTTTGATGTACATGCAACCGTCAAAGCGTTTGTACGGAAGTCGAAGCAACTATTAATCATCTAAAATAACTCCAATATTAACTGTGAGCATGGAACAATGTCTTTAGAATATAATCTTTCAATTTCGGTCTTATAAAGTGGTAAAGAAGCTCTACAGTTTTTCCGGTGATGAGTCAAATATTGTGTAGTAAACCACGAGTCGCCATTGAATCGTAAACACGTAGTAGACCGTCATGCTTTGTGGACGAAGCCATCATCACGTGTTAAAAATTGCCTACCATATAAGGTAGTGGTCTCGACCTTTTAAATGAATTACTCTTTTGGTACCATTTAGCTCTGTTGCTAATAGTTAAAATCCATAACTTTACTGAAATGATAAATCGATAAAAGAAAAAAAAACCCAATAGATTTAAACCAAGGCCCTACATACTCATATAAGTATTACTTAAAAAAGAGTTGCTGTTCACTTGTTGTTTATAATATCATTATTACTAATACCTTGTCTTATATTATAAATTCTAGACACACCCACTTTTAGGATGATTTCTTGTGTCAATTTCAATTTTAATAAAATTTAAAAAATGAACATTTTTTTCATGTACGAACAAAATACATTTTAAACTTTTAAATATTTGATTAATAGTCATTGACATCAAAAATTGGCTTGTGAGGGCCAAGTAATTACTATTATAGTTTAACAATATCAGCAACTTATATAAATATATTATATTTTACCTGTTTGTACGCAAAATATATCGTGCCATTGGTGTGAACTGTTGTTTGAAAATGGAAGGGTTTTGCTGAAAAAATTATAAATTTGTTTCATGGGGCTTTTTAATAAAGAGAATCAAATGTTTTTATTTTACTAACGTTTCAATGGATAAAAATCATATCCAATCACCGACTGTACTAGATTCTGAAGTTGTGAACTAACAATTCATATTAATAGTTAATTTATTCTTCACACATTGAAATGACAACGGATTTCTCGTCATTTTCTGATCAGGACAAGGAGTAAACGGCGGGTTTAATTGGTAAGCAGGGGATGCTCACTCCTCCATGACAACTGATCCCATCTCTATTTTTTAAGGTTTCGGATTTGCTCTGCTCCTGATTTGTATAGTTTATTGGACTTTTCATGTGGAATTTTGTTCGTTTCCTTTAAATGTATATATCACGAACGATACAAAAAAAATAGTAGTAGTATTTGATTTTCAGTTTTTTTTATATTTCAATATACATTATATTCGATAAATGAGACTTTATTTTAAGTTTGGATGTGTATAATTTTCAAGCGATAAAATGCAATATATGAGAATTAAAACGAATTTAAACTATAATAAAGTATGACCTTACTGTCATTCTTGTCTTGGAGATAAACATTTTGCCATTCAACTACAAATCTATTACCTGTAGAAACAAAGACAAATTATGATGAATAAGACATTTGCACATTACTTTGATTCGAAAATTAAATGATACATGCTATGTGGCTTAATATTTCAACGACAGGTGGACACACCAGAATCTTTAAAGAGAATATTTGAATCCTCATTGATAGTTGGATCAAAGTTTGCCATCAGTGGCGCAATATACTGTGTGGCTGCGAGATACTGATGTGGAAATTGGGCCATGCTTAAAAATCCTGGAACAAAAATGTATACAGAATTGGTTTAGAGATTTGAAAAATTCGTAATTGTTTAAGTAAAATGTAAATTCTATTAAAAAAGTTCTGTTTAAGATTATATGCACCAGCCTTTTAAAAATTGATTTGACAATACAGTCTATTACCTGAGTTGGTTATCATCATCCTGGCTATATTATTGCCATAAAATCTGAATTTATCTTTCAGGTCAACTTGCTGCAAAATAAATGAGATGTCGCATATATTGTATTCAACATGTTTAAATTTTGTATATATAACCTCTTCATCATGATATATTAACAATGAGTTTGCAATGATAGCTTTTCGCTGTAAACATGTACATGTACATGTATATTGTTCTGCATTTAACTGAACAAAATCATAAAAAAATAACATAACATCACTTTGTTGAGCTTCAAATTATTTTCCATAACCTGAGCTGACTAACAACCCTAAGGAACTTTGTTAGATGCTTACAATAGCCTTTCTATAGCCCTTTACAATAGTTTTATGTCCGTTTGAATTGTTCAGGTCCTCCCAGTATTCGTTGAAATCAGGAGTATTTGTCATTACTTTTGATGTGTAATATCCATGATTCTTGATTACCTGTAATAATTAATAATAATTTCCAATGTTTGTGTATCAGTATTAAAGTAACATAATAAGTCAAAATCATTAGCTTCTTTTATGATTGTTGTTTCACAAGAAAAGATTTATGTGAAATATTCAATATTGCGAATATTTAAAAAATCAACTACTTTTTAGTAAAGCAAGATAGGAAAGAACTTCATATTGTACATGATAATGTCATTGCTGAAAATAAATAAATCCATGGCTTAATTATCATTGTCAATGTAAACAAAATTAAGGCCGAGCGCCCGTTATTTTGAATGTAAAAATTGTAAACAATATTAAACTAAAAGTATAAAAACTGTTAGGTTGAAATTATTTATTTTATCTTTATATCAAATACCCAGAATTATATCAAAGTTTGTTTCTTTTACGTGGCTCATTTTCGGTGTATCGTGGCGTTTTGTTAGATTGTGTTGTGGTATAAGCTTTATTGTCAACGGTACGGAATGTACCACTGAAAGAGTTACTTACCTGTCTTTTCTTTAACATATGGTGGCTTTTAAATGACGTAACGATTTCACCTTCACTTGACTCGCCATTTTGCAAATTATAGGGCACATCTAAAAAACATAGCATTCTGTATCCCATTTAAGTTTTCGTTCAGACCATTGCATTCTTTGTGTTCATCATTAATTAACAGCTTAAGATTGAAAACATTTACTACTTGTAGTAAATCAAAGAATTTAAGAGATATATTTCTGGAGATATAATTCGGAATTTTGTTTTTAAAAAGTCAACAAATGAATGAGTAAAATCATGTGCTAGTTTAATACTTTTATTTATGTACAGTATGAGCTACAAAGGTCTTTTTGAAATAAATGTTTCGAATGTGAAAGCTTTACCGACGGCAAACAGACAGATGTTTCAAAGCCAAAGTGCCGCTTTACTGTGACAGAGCTATTAATATGTTATTTACTTGCCGTCGAGCCACCATATGTGATTTGTTATAAAGATTTATAGATAATATCCATATGCTCTTTGTTCTGTACCAGACAGTTGTAAATTAAGAATAGTTAGCTTTGGGTTGAAAAAAGGCCAAAAGTTCAATGATCCTTCATTGGTCATTTGCATACGGGGTTTATACCTCTCAAATGTGTCGATATGCAAGGTTATGCTCTACGTTTGAACAATATCTAAAATGAGGCAAATTATTGACAAATTGCTGAAACGAGAATATCTGGTTTAAAGTAATTATTTCGTTAGTTCTGTGGTCAATGCCTTTGTCAGCATATACAATTTATTTCTTTTTTTAAGTTAAAGGCTGACTGATATCCCGATAATGACAAGAAGCACACGGCGGGTGTGACCTGTCAGCAGGGGATACTCACGCCTCTATGGCACCTGATCCAACATGTTTTGGAGGTCCATGTTTGCTCTGCATCAGCTGTGTGTTATATAATGAACTTTTGAGCTTGAATATTGATTGCTATCTCCGTATATTTAATTCTTTTTCAATTAATTTTACCAAAGGAATAATAAGTTGGTTTACTTTCTTTGTTTTCTATCTTTGGGGGGCCTGTAATCACATGTTAGTAGGGGGCCGAACTCAACGTTCAGGTAATTGAATGTTCCGAGGAGTGCATTTCTAGCACTTGAGATTAAATGCAGCTACTAGGGCATTACTATACATACATTACTGATTAAAAGTTTTTTTTTAAGTCATTTAGAATTTAAAGTCAATTTTTTCTTATATAGCACTTTTTGCTGGAACATAAAATTGTATTTTTTCTTTTGTGTCTGTCTCATCGCCAACTGCACGGACCTATGCTGTTACCTGTGGAAAGCGGAAAGGAATACCACTGCTAGAGTTCAATTGCTATTCAATTTCCAGCTGTGTTTGAAACAGACTGGATATAAAGACAATCTCCTTTATATTATATATTATTAAATTTGTCGTATTTTGGCTCAATTGTTTCATACACAATAATGTCAGTGACATCAGTTTTTAAATTTTGGGTAAATGAGTGATTTTGCAGCGGTTGATAATGATTAAGTTCAGAAGGACAATGGGGGAAATTGCGTTATATACTTATTTAATGATGTTCAGTGGGCCTTTGCTAATTATTGTATTTGTGTTTGTGTCAATAAAATATTTTATTTGTATATTGAAGAAAATTTTTACTTTTTCCTTCTTTGGTCAATATAAAAAAATAATTTTCTATCTTTGAAGCAATTCACATTTACGCAATTCATGTCAAATATTTTTATCTATTGACAATATCAATCATTGATATCAATCTTTTCTTTAAAGTAGAATAACCCTATGAAAAGCCTCATTGATAAAAAAAAAAGCAGATTTCGATAATATTTAATTTTCCATAAATAGAAACAGTCTTACCTTTTTGGAAGGTGAATTTAACCTGAGAACATACAAATACATGTAATATCAATGTTATTTTGACGTTCATAATATACAGATGAGTCGCCATATTGTTGTTGTAGTATCAGTTTCCAGCAGGATTCAACACAACTGCAAATTCGACCAACCGCACACAGATATAAATACAGTTGTGATGACTTCAAAAATTAATATCACTACAATCGAATTTTAAGGACATAATTTAACAAAGTTGACAAAATGCATTTTAAAAGCCCCTCTTAGTATTGACCTTTTGTGTATAGTTATCATTTGAACTTTTGATCTGAACGAACATGACTTATTACTGTATGATTTACTAGTAATTATGCTTTAGGGCGACAGCATTATACAGTTTACGGAGGAAGTGAAAGTTAAAATTTAAATGATAACAAAACCTTGCATTCATATGAAATAGAATTTATTCAAAATCTTAAACAAGATAAAATAAAAAGCGTTAGCTTTTCCTTCAACATGATATGCACAAATGTACACGCATCGACGAGGAAATATTTTCAAATTCCTGATTTATTAAGTCAGATTCATAGGTGGCAATTGTACTCATCACTAAATATGAAGAGGAGGAGAGGCAAGAGTATCATTGTGCCCCTCATCCATCTTTTGTTGTAAACCTGAGCACGGTGGAGATCCTTTAATATATCCCTAAAATAAAGAAGAATACGATCAGTTGGATTATCAAATATCTACTTTTTTTATTGTCAAATATTTAATTTGGCAGACACTACCCTTTCCCCTAAGTTCATATAGATTGGCTGAAATCACATTATATTTTATATTATTCAAAGCAAAAAGAAGTTGGACTTTGAGATTGAATACTGTTCGTTATCTCCATATCCTTCATCTGATGTGCTGATAGTAATTCTTTTATCTTATATATTCTATCATGGTTCACGGTGTATATTTATTTGAATTCCGTAGGTAGGAGGAGGTTTCAACACTGTGGATTTTCGTGTTCAAGTTTCAGATCCAGAGATTTGTACAACATCAAACATTTACAAAGTACATAGACAGTGTCAAGTTGTTATACTGTTCCTTTTATTTTCGCTTTATAAGCAATTTACAAGTACCCTATTAAAGTAAAAAAAAAAAATAAGCAGCCCAAGGTAGCACAAAACATTTTCAAAAGATTTTATTGGTGTTGTAAAACGTTTTTTTTTTTTTTTTTTACAATTTCAGACTAAACATTTTAAAAATATTTCTAAAACATTTCCTTTTCTTATTATAACATTTTAAAAACATTTATAAAATTTTAAAAGAAGCTTTTAATAAAATCCTTTTGGAACATTTTTCTAAAATATTTTTGAAACGTTTTAAAATTGATTCAAAAGGTATGTTAAGCTTTCAAATATACTTAATTTTTATAGAACGTTTTAAAAAACGTTCTTAAAACATGAAACGAAACATTCCTTTTCCATAAATCTGAAACATTGCATGAATACGTTCCTGAAGGAACATTGTCACACTGTTTTTGATACATTCTCAATATTGTTTAAGGAACGTTTTTCTAAAATGTTTTTGAAACGTTTTAAAAATGATTCCAAAATTATGTTTACCTTTAAATATTATTGATTTTGCTATTACATTTTAAAAACGTTCTAAAAACATGAAATGAAACATTCCCTTCTGTTAAAGTGAAATTTTGTGTGAAATTGTTTGTTTAATTAATGCTTGATTTATATTATCTTAATCTTGTTGATTTGTAGTAATTGCTCTAAGCTACAGACTGCAGTGATCTGTTTATGTGATAAGGTCTTGACCGCTCATTAAGATTTGGCTGGGAAATTTAGCTCTTGTATCAGCATTGATGACTTTTATATCACCCGAGTCTCAGGGGGAATGAATGTCCGAAGTGCTGGCCATGAGAAAATGCAGAATTCATTGTGTTCACAATCATGACAATTAACAGGTTAATTTAGCAGTGATCGACAGTCTGTAGGTTGAGCAGTTCTTAATATTTAGCGTAGAACTTGTGTGTTTAATTAGTTACTCAGTCGGGTCCTGTGTGTAAAGTGTTACATGGGAATACAAAATAAACTTTGTCGGAAACTTTGGGCGTTTTTATTTAAAAACAGAAAGTTTTGGTGTAACACCTTCCCATAAATCTGATTGTCGCATATTACCTTTCTGAAACATTTGGAAGGAACATTGTCAAAATGTTTCTGAAACATTTTAATATTGTTAAAGGAACATTTGTCTAAACCAAAAAAATTGAAACGTTTCAAAAATTATTTAAAGGGTGCGTATAGCTTTCAAATATTAAAGATTTAATACCGCGTTTTAAAAACGTTCTTTAAACATTAAATGAAATATTTTTTTCTTTAATCGGAAACATTGCATACAAGTATCAAGTATCTGAAACATTTGGAAGGAACATTTTAAAAATATTTTTAAATCATTCTTCATATCGCTGTCAAACATTCAATTTTCGGGCATTTTTTCGGCCTGGACAGTTAAAACATCGAAAAAAAAAACCCTTTTTTCTACTACAACTGATGCATTTTGATTATAGCTTTTGCGACACTTTTGAAAACATTTTCAAAATGTTATTAAAACATTTATATATTGCGGCGCAACTTAATTCACTTGGTGACTATAAAAATATGTGTGAGAATGTTTTTAAAACGTTCAATTTAATGTGTTTCTTTTTTTAAAGACTTCATTTTCAATTTTCATTCCTGCAATATTTTTTAATTTTGCTTTCAAAATTTTCATAAAACATTCAAATACGAGGGTTGTTAGAAAAGTTCGCGGATAAGTTCTATTGTGAGCGCGCTATTTTCATGAAACTATCCAGATAAAAACTTTTTTCTATTTTCCAACAAATATACAAAGATTTGGTGTTTTCCGGTGATAATTAAAAATATACAACTACGAGGAATGTTCAATAGATTATGTCCTCGGTGCTCAGAAAGAAGCAAGCGACGCTTTTCAATGAATTAGTCTTCACGATTTTACTAATTAATCTCTTTTAATTCAAACACATGTCCGTAACATTTTTTTATCCAATTTCAGATTGTTTTTAAAACTCATTTTTGCGTAAATGTATGACCCTTAGTATACTTAGTATATAACGTAGCCTTTATTTTCACTCTAGTTTACTTTTTTTTACCTTTCATTTATAATGCAGTGTCTCGAATAGACCTTGTTTCCCAGCTTCTCACGATGAAACTATGTGATGAAAAGTGGTCGCATGAACTGTTTTAAATTTAGTAAAGATTCAATAATGAGAGAAAGTCAAGTTTAATGTCATATGATATTTGTGTTTATGTCATACAGTTCAGGACATTATTTATTGAATAGCTGCCCTCGTATAATCAACGCGTAAAAAGAAAGCCAAGAATGAGAACGTAATTGAACGTCATGGAGCACCGCGCTACTAAAATTTATGTGTGTAGACAGGAAAATATCAAAAAATAAACAAAAATGTTTCTAGTGCTACTAGAAATTGTCTACATGTAAAAAAGACAATAATAATCAATTGGTAGTGGCTTCATAAGAATGGAAGGATTAACATTTTTATTATCAATTTACATGTACATGCGATACCTTAGTACCTCCACTTATTGCATGGAAGTTGCATCAGGATTTCGCATTGTTTCCAAACTTGATCATGATTAGACGTTCACTTTGAAATCTCGCTAATATCAGAACAACACTTAAGACATTAAAAAGAAAAGTAATATAATTTCTCGATATTGGTGTTAAATTTTTAAGTAGAAAAAAAAAGAAAGTAAAAAAAATGTAAGAAATTTATAGCTAATACAAATCATAACGGGTTTTAAATCTGGTTGTCACGTCACTAACGTCAAGTGATTGCTCAGTGAATCCTTTGACCGCATAGTTAAATCGTTCTAAATTTTGAAAGCTTTAGTAAATGGACCTGACTTTTACCAGACTAAAAAACAAATGATAGGAATTTAATTAGACATAGGTCACACTTATACTACAAAATAGATTTCACGTAAATAAATGTGTCCGCTAACTTTTCTAACAACCCTCGTAATGTAAAATTGCGATTTTCCTAAAATTGAGTTTGTGAAGAAAAAAGCATATATTTAAGGAATGACTCTAATTCTTGACCAAATTATTCGATGATAACCTGGTTTGGGTCAGTTTACGCTTCGCGGATTATAAAAAAGCGTGGACTGAGTCATTCCTTATAATTCAATTTTAAATAATTAAACAACTGTGGGTGTAAAATTGTGTTGCTTTCTATGAGTTCAAATTTGCCGCTCAATAATACATCCCTAGTAACGGAAATGATATGAACAAGGGGAGATAATAACTGATATACAGATCTAGCAGCCATGAGGTTTGTGTACACGAGGTAAGATCGAGCTACTGTTTGAAGTTAAAGGTACATGTATTAAATATGGAATAGCCCATGAATTTCAAGGACTGGAAATAGGGGGATTGTATGGATACAGATGATTCAGCTGGTTGTCAAGGGGGTGTGTCTCCATACCAAACCAGGTTATTATGTTTCATTCTGTGTTCCTTTTTGGAAATGTAACCAATGAGAGATTAGAATAAAAACAAAATTAAATTATTTGTATAATTATAATCTCATTTTTTATAATCTTATCAACATATGTATTGTTGATAAGATTATAAAAAATCAGATGATATACAAATTTATAACACTACAAATGTAGAGCCCTTTACGCCTCTGTACAATGTATGTTTCTTTTATTCAAAGTTGTTTTAAAAGTGTACAACAACATTTAAACGCTTTATAAAGCCTAAACTGATCTAAACCAAATTATACTCGATAATTTGGTAAAAAATTAGAGTCATTCCTTATAATTTAAGTTTAAAATAATTGAACAACTGTGAATATAAAGGTGTGCTGCTTTTTATGAGTTTTGATTTACCGAGCAATAATACAACCGTAGTGACGGAAGTGATTGAAAGGAAGGGGATACATAGATCTAGCGGCCATGATGTTTGTTTACAAGAGGTATTATGGAGAAACTGTTTGAAGTTAAAGGTACGTTTAATATTAACTCTGGAATTTTCCATGGATTCCGAGCTCCGAAAATAAAAAGATTGCATGGATAGGATGATTAAGCTGGTCATCAAA